TCAATAAGCTGTTGCTTAAGCAAAAAGGGATGAAAACCTTTAAAGGAAACTCTTTTTTTTATTGAATCACCGTGAGATATGGTTACAAAGCTTTCATGTCTGTGTTTCAGTCATACAATGATCAAACACCCATCCCTCCACCAGTGCACATTCCCTACCACCATATTCCCAGTATACCCCCCCTTTCCGACCTTCCCCCTGCCTCCATGGTAGACAATTTCCCCCATACTCTCTCTCTTCACTTTTGGTCTTTATGGTTTGCAATACAGATACTGAGAGGTTATCATGTTTGGTCCTTTATCTACTTTCAGCACACATCTCCCATCCCGAACAAATCCTTCAGCCATCATTGTCTTAGTAATCCCTTCTCTATTCCAGCTGCCTTTTCCCCCAGCTCATGAGATAGGCATTCAACTATAGGGCAATATTCCTGGTCCTTGTGTCTACCTACTGTCCTTGGATGTCAGTCTCATATTGTTTATATTCCACAAATGAGTGCAGTCATTCTCTCTCTGTCCCTCTCTTTCTGACTCATTTCACTTAGCATGATACTCTCCATGTTCATTCACTTATAAGCAAATTTCATGACTTCATCTCTCCTAACAGCTGCATAATATTCCATTGTGAAGATGTACCAATGTTTCTTTAACCAATCGTCTGTTCTTAGGCACTTGGGTTGTTTCCAGATTCTGGCTATTGCGAACAGGGCTGCAATGAACATACAGGTGCAGGTGTCATTTCTACTGTGCTTTTTTGCACCCTTGAGATATATTCCCACAAGTGGTATTGGGGGGGTTCATATGGAAGCTCAATTTCTGGTCTTTTAAGGAATGCCCATATTCTTTTCCAAAAAGGCTGGGCAAGTCAGCATTCCCACCAACAGTGAAAGAGCATCCCTTTCTCCCCACATCCATGCCAACACTGGTTGCTTTTGTTCTTTCGAATGTGTGCCAGTCTTTGTGGTGTGAGATGATATCTCATTGTTTTTTTGATTGGCATCTCCCTGATGACTAGCGATGTGGAGCATTTTTTCATGTTCCTTTTGGCCATTTGTATTCCTTTTTTGAGGAAGCTTCTGTTCATTTCTTCTCCCCATTTTTTGATGGGGTTGGAGGATTTTTTTCTTATACAATTCAATTAATGTCTTATAAATCCTGGATATTAATCCCTTATCAGATAGGTATTGGGTAAATATTCTTTCTCATTAAAGGAAACTCTTACTGCTGCTAGGTAGGGACAGATTTACCTTACTCTTATTTTCAAGGTTTAGCAGGATGCAAGTACTCACTAAAAATAAAAGTCATTATTATATGCTTATTCAGTCATAATCAACAATCAAACGTATGAGAATCAGAGATACCCCCGTAACTTCCCTGAGAGTACCAAACAACACAACTTGTTACAGAAATAACAGATCGGAAGCTTTTTTAAGAGGTCAGTTTACCACCCATGTCATAAGAATATGAGGCTATATTTGCTTTTTCCCTACAGTTCTTACTTATCTGCCTGATTCGCTATAGGTATGATTTGGGGGTCTTATAATCAAACCATACAGTTTTCAGATTTCATTTTTCCTCTGGCAGTACTGTAGTTTTCGCTACATCTGGCTGTTTTTATGATTATCACATGATGGATGTAAACGATCAGTTCTGAGGCTGCCAGCGAAAGCAACTCATTCCCAATGTCCATGAACTGCATCAGGCCAGATGATAAATGGGCTCCCCGGTTCCGTGGTCAGAACACTGGTCTTTAGGCCAGGAGTCAGTTCCAGCCTTGTTTGGGCCTTCTGTGGGCACCTGCATCCCGATTAAATACAATGATTTCTACTCGAGCAGGAGTAAAAGTCACGCCTCCTGAGCTGCAAACGACTAGCTTCCTCGCAGAGCTCTACGCGAAGGAGAGTGGGCGTGATCTCGGAGGGCGGCGCCGGAAGGGAAAAATCCCTGATCAACACACGCGGCAGAAAAATGAAAACAAAGGAAAGCCGCTCGGCGACCCCCAAAGTCTGGGTACTCAGGCGGAAGCACGGGAGACGGAGGAGACAGGTCCAGGCCGTGCACCCAGCTAGGCGGGCACACAGAACACAGGAGGGGCGGCGGACAGGGGCGGGGCACTATGCAGGATGGAGGCGGGGAATGTGAGGACAGAGGCGGGCAGCTGGCCCGGATCTCGGCGGGGGAGACAGTGGGCGGGCCAGGGGAAGAAGCAGTAGGTGGGGACGAGTACCAGTGGGTGAGCAGCAGGGGTCCGAGAGCAGCTAGGCGGGGACGAGCTCCTGAGTGACTGGGGACCGTGGGTGGAGACGGATGCAGATGACAGTGGGCGTGTGGGGAGGTGGGCGGGACGTATGTGCTGGGGGAAACAGGCGGGAACAAGTGTAACCGGGCTGCGGCGGGAGGCACTGTGGGTGGGACAGGAGTGTGGTGGCCCGAATGTGACTGACGGAGGAGCAGTGGTCAATGCCCAGCTGTGCGTCCACCGGGGGCGACGTGATGGGGAACAGCGCGGGACGCTCCGTGGACCGGGCGGGGGTGGGCGTGGCCTTGTAGGGGGCGGAGCCTGCGGTGGTGGGCGGGACGCTCCGTGGGCCGGGGTGGGCGTGGCCTTGTCGGGGCGGAGCCTGCGGTGGTGGGCGGGGCGATCCATGGGCCGGGCGCGGCTGCTCGGTTGGAACCGACTTCGCCGCCGCCGTACCTGCGCTTGCGCCACGCGGCCGGCAGTCGGCGCTGTGGCCGCGGGTCCGGCTCCCCAGACTGACGTTCCTCCCGGGGCCAGGAGCGTGGCCAGCGTGGCCGGGCCCGAAGCCCGAGCTGTGGCTGCCACGTGGCAGTCCTGGAGCTCACTGCCCAGCCCCACAGCCCTGCCTCTCCGAAGGGAGGGGAAGCGAATCACCAAAATAAACAGCTTCGGGCCGCTCATTTCCAGACAGCCACGTGACAGTCTTTAATAGTAAATACGTGAATCTCCCCCACTTCCGGGTTTCGGGCTAGACCTTGATAAGCGATTGTCATTGAGAGAACGCCTAGTCACACGGGCCCGGAATGAAAGCTTTCCGATCGAAATGAGAGTAAAATACGCGGATTTTCAAAAATAGGATTTAGAAAATGCAGTGCCAAATAAAATGAATTGTTGCTAGTGGTACTTCAATGCTTTAAAATTACAGTTCATTTTCCTTAATCCAATACGCATGATATGCATATATTGCATAGTATTTCACGTGTTTAATGTACACATTTTACTTAATTCATACTATTGCATATATTGGATTAAATAAAATATATGACGTTAGTTTTACCATTTTGCAGCAGGCTAATGGCAAGCATTGTATTTACATATATGGCCTTTTCATTCGCAGTCCTCATTCCCATATGGAGATTTAAGACATCTGTCCTCTGACTTTGAGTCCAAGTTAACTCTTGACCCATGTTCACATTTGGGAAGCTGTGGCAGATGCTGGGAATGGCTTCATCTTCTCTGGGTCCCCCTGAGCCCTGAGCCTGTCTGCACCTGGCACGTGCCAGCTGAGTTAGGCATTTGGTCAGATGAAAACATTTCCCCAGCATGGCCTTCAGTGCCACAGGGAGCAAGAGAGTTTGTTTTTGAAACTGAGTTAACTCTAGGGTCTGCACAAGCCTAAAACTCTTCAATTTGCAACACTTAGGCCTGGAAAAAGACTTGTTGGTGTTGCAGGATATCATCAGTCACAGGAGTGCAGTGGCAGGAAATAGACCCCTGATGCAAACAATAATAGTGACCCTGATTCAGTCCATAAGGACCATCATCACACTACATGAAGGTCACTGTGCGAAGCCATTCAGGTGTGAGGAGTTGCTGGGTCACCAGAAAGAAAAAAAATGCCTTCAGTGGGTTCCTCCTGTGCCCCCCATGTCCCAGGATTGCTGGGGTGTCTTTGCTACTCTAGACACTTCACTTCAACCCCCCACCCCCGCAATAAGTGTGTGATGAAGATGCCTTTTAAGCATTGTACCTCCTCTGATTTTCCAAATCATCACCTTCCTCATCCTCACTCCCACGTCCCTTCCCCCTCTAGGGGCCAGAGAGATCGTGGAGCGATCACGACTCTTGCCTTGTACATGTCTGATCTGGGTTTGATCCCAGAGACCCCATATGGTTCCCTGAGCCCCACCAGAAGTGACCCCTGAGTCAGAGAAGGAGGAAGCTCTGAGCACAGCCAAATGTGGCCCCCCAGATTCCAAAAACAGATGCCCCATTCCAGCTTATTTCTGAGGAGTGTGCACCTACTTGCATGTTCTTTTCAAGACTTCACAGCCCTTTTGTTTGTTTTGTTTTAGGGGGTCACACCCAGCAATACTCAGGCTTTACCGTGGCAGTGCTAAGGGGGACTATATAGGATGCCAAGATTGGGCCCAGGTTGGATGCATGCAAGGCAAGCACCCTACGCACTGTCCTTGAGTTTGCAGCCTGAGGCCAGTGTTTGCCCAAAGTGGACCAAGCAGTACAGATACCTCCTGGGTGGGAGGGGGCAAAGGGAGGTGGTACCAGTGGAGGACTTTTCTTGTCCACCTGACTCATGGACAGGCGCTGGGGCAGGAGAGGGAAGCCTGGCTCTCAGGCAGACACTGGGCAGGCTTGCAAAGTTTCCCAACATTAGACCAAAGGAGATCAAAGGGTAAATGTTGGCGCAAGAGTGTATTTATTACCCAAGTGATAGATCGGACAGAACAGAATGAGAAGCAAAGTGATTGCAAGCAGGATGGCAGGTGGGGACCCCAATGGGCAGGTGCAAGGGCCATGTGGTGTGCCCCTTGCACAAACACCCATGCAGAAGCAGACAAAAGCATCCCTTCATGCATACAGACTACAGGAGAGGTGTTGGGGGAAGCACACCCACCAAGCCCAGTGCCTGCCTCCCTCCACTCCGAAGGACCAAGACCAGCCACAGCCTCACTGCAAGCTGGTTCTTTGTCCCCGTGTCCCCTGGATGGTCTCTTGGTCAGAGACACACCAGGCTGACCAGCTTCACTCTCCGAGGCGGGTGTGCTGACTCTTCTTTCTCTGGCCCTGGGGGCCAGGGGACCAGGCTCTGCCTTTCTCATGGGTCCCCAGCCCCTGGGATGTCTTCCAGCTCCTGCTGGGAGCAGCGGGCTTCCTGGCACGGCCCTTCTCAGCTGAAGCCAGAGTGGCGTTGGCTGATCTCTGAGCAGCCTTCTCCCACTGCTCCCGGAGCAAGGTCAGGACTGTCTCTGGGAAACAAGCATTTATTTAGGGGGACATAAAAGTCCTGGAAAGCAGTTTCCAGGAGAGGACAGGCCAGCCAGGAAGGCTATGGCTGCAGGAGGGCCCTCTCATGTCATCTCTTTGCAAACCAGTTTCTTTTATTCCCTCCACATTACTCTGGGTGCGCTGGTCTTGTGAAGGACTTGACTTCCCTTCCCTCCCCTTCCCTCCCCTTCCCTCCCCTTCCCTCCCCTTCCCTCCCCTTCCCTCCCCTCCCCTCCTATTCTCTTCCCTCTCTCTCTATTCCCTACCCTTCTCCCTCGCTCCCTCCTTCCCTCCTTCCTTCCCTCTTTCCTTCCTCTCTTCCTTCCTTCCTTCCCCTCTCCCTTCTTCTCTCCCTCTTTCTCTCTCTCTCTCTCCCTCCCTCCCTTACTTTCTCAGGAATCACTCCTAGAGGTCTTGGGGACCATATGTGGTGCCATGGATTGAACCTGGTTGGTTGCATGCAAAGCCCGTAGCTTCCCCACCATACTCGCTCTCCAACCCTAGAGGGCAGCACCTGGGACCCAGAAGGTGTCCCCTGCCCCAAGGAAGGAGTCCTCATGCTGGGGTCTCTCCATCCTCTGAACTTCCTTTTCCTGGAACACCACTTCCTTCTCACTCTCGATTCCCAATGGGCCAGTGCGCAGCTGTGACCCCACTCAATAAGTGATGGGTCACAGAGGGAAGGGAGGAGTGAATGAGTGGACAGAGTGACATTGGCTGCAGCAGGTGCAAGGAGAGAGGTGGAGCTGAACCACCAAGTACAACCTGGCTAAGCCTTTTAGGAGAAACCATAAAACCCCCCATTCCATCCTGGGCGGGATCCTGAGAGTGTGCAGGGGCCACGGTGTGGCCCCGCACCTCCATGCCAAGCTCAAACCCAGAGGAAGGTGGACTCACTTTCGAGTGGCTTGAAGGGGAGCCTCTTGCTCTTGGTTTTCACCCGCACTGGCTTATACTTGCATTTCCCTGGGGGTGCTCGCCTAAAAGACAAAAAGAGTAAGCAGGCTTTGTGAGACAGACCCAGAACCAAAGACTCCAGAAGGCACCACTTTGCAAGCACCAGGTCCAGCCCATCCTCATCCAAATGTGATGGGGCAGCTGTCCTCAGAAGGAGACTGTGAGCTCACAGAGAAAAGGAAGGTCGCAGACGCCCCAGGGTCATTGCAAGTAGTACCACCAGGGCAGGGTCACTAGGACTGTGGACAAAGAAATTTAACAAGTCTCAGTTCCTGCATCTCATCTCACTGGAGCACTGGAGCACTGTCCTCCCGTTGTTCATCGAGTGGACCCAGTAACGTCTCCATTGTAAGACTTATTGTTACTGTGTTTGGTATGTTGAATACGTCACAGGTAGCTTGCCAGGCTCTGCCATGCAGGCGAGGTACTCTTGGTAGCTTGCCGGGCTCTCCGAGAGGGGGCGGAGGAACCGAACCTGGCTCGGCCAGGCTGGCTACGTGCAAGGCAAACACCCTACCACTGTGCTATCGCTCCTGCTTCTCAAAACAGGAAAAATCACGCTCCTCACAACTGCCCTGTTCTGGGGAACAGTGCTGAGGGTTGGCCAGAGTGGTACGCCGGGCACACTGCGAGCCAATCTCTCACCCTAAATCATTTCCACAGGAATAAAAGAAGCACCTAGAACACATCACTACTGTCCCACAGATTAAGAGGGGGTGATGGCTGTAGTGAGGGTGTTGGTGATGGTGGTGACATCGAGGGTGACAGTGGTGCTGGTGGAGGTGATGTTGGTGATGGCTGTAACGGGGTGTTGGTGATGTTGGTGGTGCTGATAGTCGTAGAAATGATTGTAGAGTAGGTAGTGATAGTGCTGGTGGTGGTGGAAGGGGTTATGTTGGTAACGATGGAGAGGGTGATGGTGGTGATGATGGTGGTGGAGGGTAGTGATGGTGACAGTGGTGGTAATGATGGAGGGGGTGATGGTGTTGGTGGTGGTGGAGGGGATGACAGTGGTGGTAACGATGGAGGGGGTGATGGTGGTGATGGAGGGGATGATGGTGACAGTGGTGGTAATGATGGAGGGGGTGATAGTGGTGGTGGTGGTGGTGGAAATGATGGTGGTGGTGATGGCAATGCTGGCGAGCTCGTGGTGGTGCCGGTGGAGGGGGTAATGGTGTTGGTGGTGATGGAGGGGTACTGGTAGTAGTGATGGTGGTGTGGGTGATGGGAGGGTAATGGTGTGATGTGGTGGTAACAGAAAGGGTGATGTGGTGACTAGTGGTGGTGGCAATGGAGATGACAGTGGTGGTGGTGGTGTGGGAGGGTGACGGTGGGGTTGGTTATAGTGGTGTGTTGGAGGTGACAATCATTTCCTGTAAGACAATCCTTCTAGGGGCCGAAGAGGTGGCCCAAGTGTTACAGCGCATATCTTTCTTGTGCGGATTCCTGAGGTCATTCCCCAGAACTACACACCCCTCACAACTAGTAATCCAGGAAGGAAGGGAAATCTCTCCAAGAATTTACAGCGTGATCCCTTGGGCCTCTCTGCCACTAGTTCTGGATCCTTCAGCACACTGATCCTTTGATTAGTGCTGTTCTACCCACCGCATCTTGCCTTGGTGATAAGAACACCCACTCTCAGAGCAGGGCCCAGCCTTCCCAGCCATCCATTCAGTAAAGACCTCATCTAAGTGATAGTTGGTATCAACCTGCCTCAGAGGGATTCTTCGGGCCCTAAGTGCAAGCCCAAGGCATTTCTCCACTCACAGAAATTACTTCATAAATGTCAGGGAAAGATGAAGAGTAAGGGTCTTGTGCCTGAAGCAGAGGGAGATGAAAGTAAGCAGAGTGCCCCGGGCACAGTTGTAGAGAGACCAAGCCTCTTCCAGGAGCTCCTGAGAACAGCTGGTCCAGAGTCCTTCTGCCAGGCAGGGCCTGGGTCAAGGTCTGCCAAGTCCCCCCACCACCACCACTACCCCCCCACCCCGACTCCAAGCCTCTCGAGCACTTCCTCTCTGTGGGTCTCACTACGCACTGACTCTCTCCTGAGATGGATGCAGAGCCCGCTATATGGACACAGGCAGCACCCATGCTACCCCGGATGCAGGTCCCACACGTGTCCCTTTTACCTCATCTGTTGGAGGTTTAGTGAACCCCAGAGAGAGGAGGTTGTGATGCTGGAGTGAACAATCAAGCTACAGGGCCGAGGCTTTAGTACAGGGCTTGGGGCACAGGCACACAGCCCCTGGGCTCTCAAGCAGAGCTGGGGCAGCCCTGAAGTCCCCATAGCCAGGAAGTGCCAGGCTGACCCGGAGGACTCCAGCACAGCAGTGCTGGATGGGTCTTTGGGACACAAGCTGAGCAGTCCAGTAAACCAAGGCCTCCTGAGCAACACTCAGGAGAAAACTAACGAACCAAGTGGATCAACACTGCTACTGGACCCTAAACAGAGCCAAGTAGAGACTCCCAGAAACCTAACAGCTGAAGGTGTTTCCATAGGTCCTCAGACCCCCAACTAAACCGAGGGAGTGCCTGCACCTTTAACAAAGGGAAGAACTCAGACAGAAGTTTCCAGAAGTAGAAGAGAAAAGGAGTTGCGGGCATTGATGTGTCGCTCTGAGAAGTCAGAGCCCTAGACACAGCATCAGAGACTGTCTCCCAGCTCACACATAATCCCCGTGACTTGGTCCTGCACACATGCTTGTCCCAAAGGGACAGATTTTCTGCATTATTTGCTAGTTCAGCAGGTTCAGGGGAGCAGAGAGATAGGCCGGCAATAAGACGCTCCCCTTGCATACAGCTGACCCCAGTTTGAGCTCTCAACTCCAGCCCCTGAATCCTGCCACGAGTGATTCCTGAGCACAGAGCCAGGAGAAAGCCCTGAGCACCGCCGAGTGTGGTCTAAAAACCAAGTAAATACAGATAGTTTGCATGATTTGCATGAATGAAGTCCAGCTACAATCTCTAGCATCACATGGTTCCCCCAGAACAGTTAGGAAACACCTCCAAGAACCTAGCTGAGAAGAATTTCTGAGCAGTGCCAGGCCATGTCCCCAACACAAAAAATAAATAAATAAAATCAAGAATAGTCTTCTCTACAGAAAACCGGTACATTCAGTTGAGTTGGGGACAGGGGGATGAATCACTAGGGTCCCGGGGAAAAGAAGTGGGTGTGATGGTGTGGTGTTGGTATAGTATCATATATCACAGAATTCCAATTAATAAAAAATTATGAAAAAATAAAATTCTTCAACATGTACTACCAAAAAATATTTTTTTAAGATATAAGATATTTAACACTGGGACGATAGTACAGTGGGTAAGGTGCTTGTCTTGCATGCAGCCACCATGGGTTCAATCCATGGCATGTTCCTCTGAACACCACCAGGAGTGATGCCTGAGTACAGAGTCAAGAGTAATCCCTGAACGCCACTGGATGTGGCCTAAAAACAAACCAAAAAAGTGAAGATATTGACCCTTGAAGAAGGTCCTAAAAAATATCTGATTGGGGGTATGTGACCATTGCTGTCTGTCAATCTGGGTGCTGTTACAGGGGTCTTGTGTGCTTGTGAAAATTCAGGAACTGTAGCATTGTGATAGCGTGTGTTTCTACACAATCACCAGATGTCAATAAAAACAAATTAGTGTTTGCTCATTCTTGTACAGTGAGGGCTGTTTTTATGACACGTCCTGGAATAGATTAAAAACCACTCGAGAGTAGCACAAGAGAACAAATCTCACCTTGATGGGTCAACAAGTTTGTAAATGGATCCGCGGGGTGCGAAAGCACTGGGGTAGGCGGTGGCCAGGAAGTAGAGCTCCCCTAAGAAGAGGAAAAGACCATCACGAGGAGGAAGGACAGAGGTCCTGCCGATGCCCAGACACAGCACGGCCTGGGGTTGGCAGCGGGGTCATCAGCAGACTGTGACCTCATAGAGCACAGCACCCCCCATGCCCCACAGGAGCCCCCCAGGTCCAGTTCAGAGGAGGCCCAGCAGAGAGCATCTGTGTCCATGTCCATTGACCAAGGGAGTTGCTTTCAGCCCTGCCCTGGGAAATGCCTCTAGCTGCCTTCCCACCCCTAATCCTGATGAGGATTCTCTGAGCACCCTGAGGCACAGCCAGTCCTCTGTTTCTGTTGTTCCTTCTTTGGGGACATATTGCCTCCTTCTCACCCAGGTCACCCTGACTCACCTTTCCCCAGTCTCTACCTCTTTCAGGCCTGGGGTCCCCCTTCCCCTGCCTGTCCCACAGCTCAGTCTCTATTCTTATCTCTTCATAACCCCCATGGTCACCACCTCTGCCCACTGTCTCCTTCACCCTCTCCTGCACCCGGTGAGAAGAGGCCACTCCTTCCTCATCCTTCATCCCGCTGGGTGACCCACGGGCCACCCTCTTCACGGCAGCTATTCACCATGGCCTAGCCCACAGTCCCAAAGACAGTGATGGTGCCAGCAGAGTGTGTGGTGACCCCCCCCCCCCGCCCCACCACACACACACACCAGTCCTGTCTGTGATGGTCTAACAAGGACAAAATCACCCCACACCACGCTTCTCAGAAAGCACCCTGTCTTAAAGCAGCTCCTGGCCCCAGGAAGCCAAGGAGCCCTCAAAGGTCTATGGATGGTAACATGAATTCTGACACACCAACTTGTCACTAGCAGTTGCTATGAGAATGTTCTCACACAGTGTCTGTTCTTTTGTGAAACAGGATCACGGGATATCTGGGGACTGTCCAACACTGCATTAGAAAGTGTTGGGTCATCAGCAGTCACCTTTATATACTTTTTTTCTTTAGTATAGGGGCCACACCGAGCTGTGCTCAGGGATTACTGCTGTTGGTGCTCAGGGGACTTTACAGGGTGCCAGGGATTGAATGGGGTTAGCCGCGTGGAAGGCAAGCGCCCTACCTGCTGTACTCGGTCTCCGGCCCACCCTTCTATTTTTAGCTGCTTGGGGCTGGCACTGGGTCTATTTCTGGTCATTTCCCTGAATTCACTCATTCTGTCACATGTCGTACACAGTGCTCCCTTGTCAGATCCAGGGAGGAAAATGACACTAACGAGCACATTAGAGATGCCCTGAGCTCAGAGGCTCTGGGTTCTGGAAACCGTTGTCTTCCTCCTGGAGCTTGTGGGGGAGTAGGGGCTGTTTGTCTCTGGGGCAGGTGAGCTCCAGGCTGGGCAGAACTGCCTGGTTAATTGTGCAGTGTATATGACGTGGTATTTAAAAACGTGTCCCCAGCCAGCATGCAGGGAGGAAAGTTTAGTGGCCTGGAAATCCAGGCACACCTACGTGATGCTCCCCTGAGTGAGGGAGGTGTCTGCCTAATCTGCAGGCCCCTCCAAACCATGCAAGGACTCGCTGGTCTGAACTGGAAACCTAGCACCTTCCCACACCTGACTGTACCTCATGTAAACCACATGCCTACCACATGCCTACAACATGCTCTTCGTGTTCTGAAGGAGAAACGGTGCTTGGGGTGAATGTCACCTGTGATGACCATCTATCTGTCCATGGCTGCTGGAGAACTCTGATTCTACCATCAAGTCACACCCAGCCCCAGTAGTGGTTTCATTTTTGTGGATCATACCCAGCTGTATACTCCTGGTGGTGCTCAGGGGACCATGTACAGTGTCCGAGATCAAACCAGAATGCAAGGCAAGAGCCTGAACCCTGTGCTATCTCTCTGGCCCACAACTAGCAGTTTTGTTATATTAATTATGGTGAAACATTCACTTACACACTCACATGTAGGATAACATTGGTTTGTCATTTCTCCCTGATCTCAGGAGCTTAAGTTTATTGGGTGAACCCATCACAGTGCTCTTGAGACATTCCCATTCCTGTGTTTACCTGTAACCTCTTCTCCTCTTCTTGTTCTGCTTCCCCAACCAGTCAATCACTTTTATCCCCAAATCAAACTCTGTTTACTTGTGGGGTCGATCCTTCTAAGAACTCTGGATTTGTATTTGTAAGAGAAATATTGCCTTTCTCATCTCCTTATGTCCTTTGCATAGTTACTTTGCAAGTTACATAGTTACAATGTCCTTTTTGTATAGACATAGGAATACAATTAATATTATGTTTTTGTAACTTGGGAGTTGACTGATTCTGAATAATATTCACTTCGGGGCATCTGTTTTAATGACTTAAACCTCAGTTGCCCTTAGTTCCTAGCACCCCAAAAGCAGGATCCCAATGAGGGACTGGATGGACCCAGGGCAAGCCGTGAGCTACCCTGACATCAAAATGCGCCAGGCCAAGTGCTCTATAAGTTAAGAGCACTGTCATGGACAAATTCTGTCACTATCCAAAGAGTAACAAGTGAATTAGGACCCTGCTAGGGTTAGGAAAGACTAACCTGGCCTGAGCACTTTAGTCTGAAATCTATATCGAGATGTCTCCAGGAGAACCACCTTACAAGCTCAATGTATCTCTTACTGTGTCCATACAAAATGACTAATATTAAGAGGTAGAATTAAGATGAATGTTTAAATGGTTGTTGAACTAAGAAAGGGAGAAACACACACCTAGGTGGTATTTCACCTTGAGTGGATCTCAGGAAGGGTTTTCATATGTTGATTGTGCTACCTCACCTGGGTGTGGTTGCTACCTGGGATGCTTGGAGGTGGGGTGAGACCAAGGCTTTGAGACAGAGCCTAGAGAGACTAGCATCAGGGACAGGGTGAGACTGAATGGGGGGCTTAGTGAGACTGGACCAGCCTCATGGGGAGAATGGAATAAACGGCAACTGATCACCAACCAGCCAGGTGGCCCTGTTCGCTCCTTCATGTGCCCATTGGTGGGAACTGCAGGTCAGGGTGGGGAAGTGGCTCATGGCCAATGACGCACATGGCAGGTGAGAGATAATGCCCCCCGCCGCACTCATTTATTTTGTGAATACACACACACACACACACACACTCTTACACACATATACCCATATTCACACACGTACACACTCACATATAAACACATATACCTTCACACACACACTTATTTGCACTCACATATATATTCACACACACATTCACACACACATACACACACACATTCAAAAGCCATGTGATGGGGTTGAGGGACTAACGTGGGGGGTCAGTGGCACATGCTCTGCCGCCTGCACCCAACCAGACCCCAGTTGGATCCATGGCACTGCAGAGACCAATCAACACCACAGACTTAGGCCCTAGGATCAAACTCTTGGGCCACTTGGGCAGTATACTGGAGAGGGTTGTCTTGGGGCTTCCTGAGCACTTCTTGAAGGAATGTGAGGGTCCACCCAGCCTTCTGGGGCTGGCTATCAGTGCAAGCCCTCAGGATTCCCAACATTTAGAAGCCAGCCCTGGAGGCCCTGCCTGGTTCTGACCAACTTCCCTCCCTTGCATCTTCCCCATCTCAGAAAACTGCAGCAGCAGTTCCATCCAAGATGCCTTGGGTATCTCTGTCTCTCCCAAGGGAAAGAGGACAGGGCCCAAGGCATTTGTCTTACATCCAGCTACCCCCTGCAAGGTCAGGACAGATCTCTGGGCCCAGAGCCAGCAGTAAGTCCTGAGTGTGGTCCCAAAACAAAAACAAAACTTTGTTGTATCAACTTGCCTCTACTTGGAACTTAATTGTTTCTCTGAAGAACAGTCACATTCTCCTGGGCATTCATATCCTCCCTCAATGAAACAATTTTACTTCACACATCCATAGAAAGATGACTGCCCAGCCTGTCTCTGACAATAAGGCTAAGATGGAAACAGTCTGTACAAGGGGAAAACAGCCAAGGGAAGAAAACTGGAATTCTGCAGTGCAAAAAAAAGCCACAAAGCTAGTGACTCGGGTGGAAAGAGCTGGCCGGGGCAGCTGCTGGCTGGCATCCCTGGGTGGAACCCTGCTCCTGAGCGCTAGCCCAGCCCGGCACCGCCACTGACCAGATGCACCCTGGCCTTCCAGAATGGCTGTTTGCTCAGGCAGCAGGACGTCAACAGGAATAGGCCACCCAGGCTGTGCCTCCTGTGACTCCTGAAAATAAAGACCTAAGCAGACAGCAACCAAAGTACCCCTAGGTGTAGACACACACACAAACACACACACATACACACAGACTTTCACAGACTACCACCACTGCTAGACTCAAGCCCCCCAACCCAGAGAGAAAGAGGCTGCTCCAGCACCCAGCCCAGCATCTGGGAGAGGCCCCTAAGCTGGTGACTTTTCCATCCTCCACTCCTTTTGGGCAACCTCCCGCCAGCCCGAAGGCTTCTTTCCCTTTTTCCTAAATTTGGACTACCGGTTTGGAACACACATAGGCTTTTCTCTATTAAGAATGCTTGGATTTTCCAAAACAGCCTCTGCACAACCCCCTCCCACACCACCACCACCACCACAGATTCTCTCTACTCTCTGTTTGTTCACAGGGAGAAGGAAGAAAGAAAGAAGGAGAGAGGAGAAAAGGGGGAAAGGGGGAGGAAGGAGGGAGAGGGAAGAAGGATGTTTTCTGTGCTGTTGAAGGAAAGGTCCCACAAAGCCACCCCAGGGCTCAGAGATGGAAAGAAACCCAAGAGTTAAGAAATCTCTATGGGGCTGGAGAGACAGTACAGTGAGGACTACAGTTGCCTTGAGCCAGTTTCAATCCCCAACATCCCACAGGGTTCTGCCAGGAATGACCCCTGAGTGCAGAGCCAGGTGTAGCCCGCAAGCAAACAAATAACAAAAAAAAAAATCTTTGTGCCCCAGAAATAATACAGCATGTTAGATACTTGTCTGTACATGTCTACCTGAGTTTGACTCCTGGCACTACAGATGATCACTACATATAATCCCTGAGCACAGAAGAGTATGGTCCCAAAATGAAAAAGTACAAAAAAAATCTTTGAGCTTCTGGTTTGTGCTGCCAGAGACTCCCAGGCCTGGTAGGTCCTGAGGGGTGACTTTCTTTACTCCTTGCCTCCCGCCAGCGCCAGTCCCAAAAAGAGGACAGGTCCTGCCCTCAGTCAAATGAGAGACCGAAAGTGTGAATAGGTAAGTGCACTAGTTTGGGCAAGATGAAAACCTAAAGCCCTTAATAAGCTGTGTCCAAATACAAATGAACAAACCAGGGTATCTGGGCCTTCCAAAATGCAATGCAGCAACTCTAGGCTAAACAATTCCATTGACTTGGGAGATAGTCCTGCCATCAGGATGTATGAAACTCACCCTCCCCTAATCCATCTCTAGCAACGTGTGACACCAACATTGCTAGGTGTGGCCCTGGAGGCTCCCCAGGTGCTGTTGGGAAGGCCCTGAGGTTCATGGCACCACAGGGCCCCAGCATCAACACCCCCACAGGCCCAAACACTGAACTGCCACCCTGGTTGGCGGAGAATCAGTGGGGGGCTTTTGGGCTCCTTAGCACCATTGGGAAGACTCGCCTTCCCCCAAATACTCATTTGCTAATCCAAAATATGTGGGGCAATGTATTCATGCTGAGTATGTCTGTTGGTCCATCTCTCTTACACTCACCCACCACCACCACCACACTATCTTCCTTTGCTAAGCACCCCTTTCCGCCCCCCCCCCCGCATAAAAAAAGAATGAACAATGCTTAGGACAATACCCAGTCTATTCTAAAGGGCATCTCAGTGACAGTGAGAAGGGAGGCAGCATTTGCTCATTGTATGACACTAGCAACAATAATGTTCGGTACCTGCTTCATCCTCAGCGAAGGAGATGATGTACTTGCTGGAGGTGCTGATCAGCCCTGGGAAAGCACAGGACTCCAGGTTGCCCAGGCAAATGTCCTGCTTCTTCCATTTCTTCTTTTTTTTGTCTTCCTGCAAAGCCATAAGTCGACTAGATGAAAAATAAAACCTTATAGATTAGGAATCCATATTTCTGCCTTGCAGGCTATTTTTCTTCCTAGACAACACCCTTGCTCACTAGGACTGGGCCTTTCAATAATAGAGATTGGTGAATCAATAATGATTGAGCGGATCAATAACAAGGCTCTCCCAGGAATGAGACTGCAGATACCTCAGTTCTCTCTGCCAAAAGGGGGAGTTCATTTTCTATCATGAAAAGGCTTAAGTACCCCATGAGGAAAGCTCCTCTATGAAAGACAAATCTCATTTGAAGTAGAACATAGCATTAGGACATCCCAAATATTTGCATTGTTTTTATAAGTGTATAGTCAATCTCCTTCAATAGTGTCTGGAAAATTCATCAGTGCTGTTCTATATATTGGTAATCTATCCCTCTTTCTGCTTTGTAGTATCAAATTCCAAGAATGTATCAAAATTGACTCATAATAGAATGTGACTTCAGTAAATAAATAAACTTGGAAAATGAGGTGAGATGGAAAGAGCCAATATTCCATGATTTCATTGAGGTCAAGTTTCAGAAGCAAAACAAATCTATAATGGAAACGGCAATTATCGCTGGCTGGTGTGTGTGTGTGTGTGTGTGTGTGTGTAAAAGAGACAGTTTTGACTGGCAAGGGAGGAGAAGGAATCTTCTAGAGTATCATTAATGTTCTACTTGCTGATATGGTTGGTGGAAATGCAAGTGTCTACATCTGTAAAACTTTATTCAAGCTTACTTTAAAAGACTGCATTTTACCACATGTCATAGAAATCTAAACCACAATAAAAGATAGGAGGCCAATGTATCCTTACCCACTCATGAAGTCTCCAAAGATGTAGAGGCCTTTGAGATTTGGGGATTCGCACCCACGGTACACATAGCCTCCAGTGACTGACTTCCCCACTGTGTGGTCATAAGCATAGATTGGCAGGATGTCATCTGGCCAGGAGCAAAGAAGAGAATATGGTCATGGGTGCTGAGGAGGACGGAGAGGGCATTTGGATGGTGCTGCTGGGTTAACACTCTACTTCTCAGTCTTTGATTGGACAAATAGCCAAGTGAACTGTGTTCAGTCCTCCAATAGTCAATTCAAGAGTTCTGCATTGACTGGCCATCCCAAATAGAACTGGAAGCCCCAGATCCCCTTGCTGTGAGGCAGGGCTTTGGGAATCCGCACACTTATGTGTTTCCTAGGAGATTTCCAGACTTGAAAATTTACAAAATGTAGGGAGTCTTCACCTAGCTCTAAGAGGATCTTGAAAATTGGGGCTTTTGGGGGAAATAATGTTTAACAAAGCAGGCCGCTCTCAGATAATTAACAGTTTCATTCACTGACTGCTGACGCTGTTTTTTGTTGTGCCAATACTAGAACAAGAAACAACATTGAACAAGATGGCATTAGATGGAAAAACAGTCTCAGAGAACCTGTTATTTTGTCTGAGCCTCTAAGAATGCTTTGTCACTTAGAAGGCAAAATATGCTAATAGCAATAATAAGGCATACCTACTGCTTAAGGAGTATACCATTAGGATTGGCTATAGAAGAAATACCCAATTGGAGGGTATTTCAGAGGGTATTGCTGACCCAATTGGAACATAAATAAGGGAGTATATCACCAATTTCCTCCTGTAAGTGCTTCTCAAAAATAGTGTATGACCAATGCCCAAAAGACAGAGAGAGAGACAGACAGACAGACAGACAGAAAGAGAGAGTCAAAGAGAGAGACAGACAGACAGAGACAGAGACAGAGAGAGAAGGAAAGTGCCTGCCATAGAGGCAGGAAGGCTAGGGTGGGGGTGGGGGGCAATGAGACAGAAACTGGGGACACTGAGTAATGTACACTGGTACACTGGTGGAAGGACGGGTGTTGGAATACTGTATGACTGAAACCTAATCATGAACAGTTTCGTAAGGGTTTATCTCACAGTGATCCAATTTAAAAAATAGTGTGTGCCCTAAAAATTGCATGGGATATTTCAAGTATAAGTGTGGGTGCTGGAGAAATAGCACAGGGGGTAAGGCATGTGCCTTGCATGCAGCAGCCCTGATTCAATCCCTGGCACCACATTTGTTCCTCCAAGCACCACCAGAGCTATTCCTAAACACAGAACCAAAGATTAGCCCTTAAGCACAGCAGGTGTGGTCCAAACACCAGCTCCCCGCAAAAAATTTAATTAAAATAATGTATAGGGGACCAGAGCAATAGTACAGCATGTAGTATGCTTGCCCTGCACACAGCTGACCTGGATTCAATCCCTGGCATCCCATATAGTCCCTCAGGCACTACCAAGAGTAATTCCTGAGTGCAGAGCCAGGGGTGAACCCTGAGCACTCCTGGATATGCCCCCTGCCGAAGCAATAAAGTATAGATGTGGATCAATCCCACTTTCATCCAACCCATCTGAGATACAAATTCATGACACTAGAAGCCAGAGTGACAGTACAGCCGTTAGGGCTCTTTCCTTGCATGTGGCTGACCAGGGTTTGATATCTGGCACTTTATATGGACCCTGTACCCAGCCAGGAGTGGTTCCTGATACTGTTGATGGGATTGGTGTTGGAAAATTGTATACCTGGAATTTGATTAAGGTTAACTTTGTAAATCTCGGTATCTCAATGAAAATAATTCATGACACGACCAAGCCCTGGCTAAAGTATTGCTGTGCCAAGGGCCCGCAAAGACTCCAAGCTCTCCACAGGGATACTCTGCCCCCCACTTCCAGGCCCTCAACCCCAGACTTATTCAAGAAACTACCCAGAACTCATTTCCCTTACCTAAGGAGGAGTTGTGACAGAGGTTTTTGTCGTAGCATCTAAACCCTTCCTTTGCCCTCCATCCATAGTTGCCTCCTTTCAGGATGATGTCCACCTCTTCAAACCTGTTTTGTCCCACATCCCCACAGAAGATCCGTCCCCGGCCTTGGTGTGTGGCAGGGTCCCCTCGGTCCACAGCACAGCGCCACATGTTTCTGACCCCGTAGGCATAGATAGCGGGGTGTGCTCCTGGCTCAGAAATGAATGGGTTGTCCGGGGGAATCCGGTACCGCTGGCCATCTGAGACCCCATTCACGTCAATCCGCAGCACTTTTCCCAGTAGGGAGCTTCTGAAAGGGGCAGGTGGAGAAACAGGCAAAGGTGAAGGTCCAGCAGTAGCCCACAGCCCCTGTCACACTGCAGCCTGGTCACCCTTTGGGTTACTGTGAGGCCATCTCCCAAACTTTCCCATGCCAGTGACACTAGTTTGCATTCCCACAAACAAGAATTCAAAGTTGGCCACATCCTGCCAAGACTTGGAATCTTTGGCTGCTTTGACAAGAGTCATCCCGAACATGAAGTGGCATCTCAATGTGGTTCTGACTTGTATTGCCCAAGTGGCAAAGGGGCACAAGCATCTATATGCCAGAGCTCTGCTGTCCCATCACTGACAATAGTGTATACGGTATTAGCAAGTGGTCAAGAGCAGCTGGGGAGGTAGCTGCCAGGGCTGGTGCACATGCCTGGCAGGTAGAAACCTCAGGTTTGATTCCTGGCACCACACGCTTTTCTAAGCTCTGAACTGGGAAGAGCCCCCAAGCAACAGGGGATGACCTGACCCCACGCTCTCCCCCCCCCCCCCCCCCGCCACCAAAATAAGAGAATCCATCTCAGAGCCAGTACAGCAGGTAGAGGGCTCGCCTTGCATGCAAGCAACCTGGATTTTATTCCTGGCATCTCATATGGCCCCCTGAGCACCACTAGGAGTAATTCCTAGGTGCAGAGACAGGGGCAACTCCTGAGCATCTTTTGGGTTTGGCCCAAAAACCGAAAATGAAAAAATAAAAGAGGATAGATCTCATGTTAAGCAGTCTCAACCCAGTCAAGTAATATTTGAAAATATAATAACTTCTTAAAGGAAATGGGAATCCCATGGGTGAGAGGAGGACATGATTTGATGATAGATGAAAATAGTCGTTGATGACAGATAATAAAAATAGATAATAGGTAGATATATCCAAAATACATAGAGATACTAAAAATTACACACACACACACACACACACAGACACACACACACACAGTGTGTGAAGGCTTCTCAGTTTTAAGGTTAAAAAGATCCACATTATGAAAGGGTCCTGATTCATGTGACCCAGAACAAGCTGCAGCTTCAAGATGGGGACTGTGTCTCTTGGGTTTGGTCTAATACTAGGAATTCTGACACCCATCTGACAGGAAGCTGGCTTGTGGTTGGTAGAACCACAACAGGCTCCTAGAAGCCTTGCAGGAAACTATGTTCTTGCAGCTCGGTCCTCTCCTTGGTGAAGGTGGGGAGATGCCATTCCCTGCACCATGGGGTGAGTTCTTGTGCACACAGCAGGCAATGTGAGTCCTGACACACAGTAGGCATTCAGCAGGCATCAGCACTTCCTTATTGTCACCCTAATATTTCTGTCACTATGAACTATGGCACTGAGTGTTCACTGTGTGGGGAGGGTAGAAGGACTTTGTGACCCTCACCATGACCTATAAGCCTCATTGGACTTTTTTTACCAGACTGGATGAGTTTGCATTCTGGCTCTGTCACTTACTTGCTGTTTGTCCTTGGCTAAAGTTACTTAACATCCCTTGTTCACTAGTTTCCTGGGGCCATCGTCACACTGACTCTTCATTCACTGCCTAAGTATTGATGAAGTGATTCCATTGAACTGGTCTGTGTGTTGAGTTACATCAGTGAGCAAAATCAATTCTTTAAAATTCTTGCCAGCCAGAGACTGAGTGCCTGCTTTATACAAAGAAAGCCTGGGTTCCTTCTGGCACCCCTGGGAGTGACCCTTTATGTCAGGAGTAGCCCTTGAGCACTGCCAGATGTGACTTCCCACCCCCAGGGGGGAATATAATCTATATCTATATCTATACTCACTCCTTTGAGTTGTCAGAATTACATTTTCAAATAGACTATGGCATTCATAACAGCACCCAACCCACAATGGGCACCAATACACATAGTCTCTCCTCAGCTATTCCAGAAACCAGCAGAGTCTGGACATGATGTCTAATCACTGTGTGGAGTTAAGCTGCTTTGGAAAATCAGACCTTGGTTCAGTAAATAATGTCCTGCTCTTGTGTATATGAAAAATTCAGAAGTCACCTCTACCTAGCACTCTGAGAATTCCACTGACCAACCATCACATTGATTGTCAGACACCATGAGACCTGAATTGAAAGGACCAAGAACTACGTGTCCCTCCAACAACCTCAACTGTGAGGGTACCAGCTCGCAGTGAGTGATTTATCTAACCCCCTGTAGCCTCCATCTCAGCAGAAACGTTGTCCCTGGATTTACACTAAGTGGACAAGGACCCCATCTCCATCTAGCGTACTTGTTCTGAGCATTTCCAAATTCGCCAAAGGGATCCCCCGCCTGTCCTCCGTCCCCAGTGAATATGTACATGTAGCCATCCAGGCCAAAAAGAAGTTGTCCGCCATTATGGTTTGAGGCTGGTTCTTCTATCTCCAAGATGACCCTGTATGGACAAAGAAACCAAACATGTGCGTCAGACTTTGAGACAAGCTGAAATGGTCTCTTCTTAGACCAACGTGACTGGCCCATGATTTGTGATTGCCATGGGTGTGGGGAGACAGGGCAGGGTACCATAGGTGAAGGGGAATCTGAAAGGTACAGACTTTAGCAATAAAGTAAATCATGGGATGCAATGCAGAGTGTGGTGACAAATATGTCTAGCATACTTGAAAGTTTTTGACAGAACAGGTCTTAAAATCTCTCATCAGGGGGCTCAAGAGATAGGATAGCAAGTAGAGCACCTGCCTTGCACACAGCTGACCAGATTCAATCCTCGGCTTTCAATATGGTCCCCTGAATATCACAAGGAATAATTCCAGAGCACAGAGCCAGGAGTAACACCTGAGCACCACAAGGTGTGATCCAAAAATTAAAAACAAACAAACAAAATCTCTCATCAGTTTGGTCAGAGCATAGTAAAGTGGGTAGGGTGCTTGCTTTGTACATGGTTGACTCAGGTTTGATATCCCCAACATCCCTTACGGTCCCTTGAGCCCCATCAGAAGTGATCCGTGAGTGCAAAGCCAAGAGTAAGCCCTGAGAACTTCCAGGTGTGGGCCAAAAACAAAACAAAACCAAAAAATAATAATAAAATCATCAGGGCTAGGAGACAGTTCAAAAGACTGATATCATCCCTGGCACTGCATGTCCCCCCCCAAATACTGCCCAAATACTGCCAGAAGTGAAACCCCCAAACACCAAGACGGGAGTAACCCCAGCTCTCAAGTAGTGTGGCTAAAAGTGATTTTTCAAATAAAACATTCTGAGACCAGAGCAATAGTACAGCAGGTAGCGCACTTGCCTTGCTTGCAGCTGACCTGGGTTTGATAGCAGGCACTCCAAATGGTTTCCCAAGTCCCACCAGGAGTGATCCCTAGTGCAGGGTCAGGAGTAAGCTCAGAGCCCACAAAAACAAACCCCCCCACAAAAAAAAAAACCAGAAAAACAAACAAAAATTCTCATCATGCTGAAACACAATGAGTAGGGCTGGAGAGTGATGGTACAACTGGTACAATGCTTGCCTTGCCCCCAAGCCTGGCTCCATCCCTGACTCTGGGAATGATCCCTGACCACAGCAAGGTGAGCGATAGCATAGCAGGTAGGGCATTTGCCTTGCTCACGGGCGACCTGGGTTCGATTCCCAGCATCCCCCGACTACAGCCAGGAGTGATTCCTGAGAGCATGAGCCAGGAGTAGCCCCTGTGCATCATCGGGTGGGGGAAGCAGCAGCAGCAGCAGCAGCAGCAGCAGCAGCAGCAGCAGCAGCCGCAGTCGACGCCGCAATACTGTCCATTGATAGAAACCAGATTTCTTGTGCGGGTCACTTGCAAAGATATTCAAGTTCCTATGTTGTACCCTAAAATGATCCAGGGTCACAGGTCAATCTGCGAGCAGCCCCTCCACCCCCGCCCGACGCCAGGCGGCCGATCCCTGCGTGGTGGCAGCGTTGCTCTCACCTCTCCGAGGCCAGGTCTGCCTGGTTGGGATCCTCCCGGGAGACCTTCATCTCGCTGATGCGGATCTTTTCCACCTTCCCCTTTCCGCGGCAGGAGTAATAGACGTAGAACTTGCCGTTGTGGCGGAACTGCGGGTGAAAGGCCAGCCCCAGGAAGCCCCTCTCGTCCCCGAGCCAGGGCGTGGCCAGCACGGCGCTCCTGAGGTCCAGGAAGGGCTGCTGCAGGCGGCTGCGGCCGGGCAGGAGCACCCACACCACGCCCAGCTGCTCGGCCACGAAGAGGCGGTGGCTGCCGTCGCCCGCGTGGACCATGCTCACGGGATTGCGCAGCCCGTTGGCCGCCTCGGCCGCGCAGAGCTGCAGGCAGCCCCGAGGGCCCTGGGCCACCGCCCCCAGCCCGCGGGAGAGGTGGCCGCGCCGCCGGACGTTGGGGAAGCAGTAGTCCTGGTCGGGGAGGTCCAGGAGGCGGCAGAAGAGGGCCCCATCTGTGGCCGCGGCCTGCTGCAGGCGCGGGTCGCTCGTCAGCAGGGGGACGGCCGCGCCGCAGCGGGCGTGGAAGGCTGAGCAGTAGGGGCGGCAGAGACCCGGCAGGCTCCGGAGGGGCGTCTGGGGGTCCTCGGCGTCGTAGAGGTGCGCGGCGAAGGGCGAGCACTCCTGTCAAGGGAGGGAACGTTTCACGGCGGCTGGACACTGGCTGGACCCAGACGTCTCCCTGCTCAGGCGACAGGGCTGTGTCTGCCACTGAGCGCCTAGGAGTCCGCTGTCCTGGCTGCATGGGCACCTCCGCTTCTCTGTCCTAGGCTGCAGGGTTGGCGACGGGGTGGGGAGGGGAAAGGGGGAGCCCCATGGGCTGCAGAGAACCGCCGCCACCCCACCCGGCTCGTCCTGGAGGTCGCAGGGAGCATGCAGAGAAGATGCTCTACCTTTTCCTCCAGGTGAAGCTGCGTGCTGCGTGCATACCTTGTTTTTAGGGGAAGGAAGCCAAAAGCAGGGAGGAGTCTGCAGTCTGTGGAGGGTCTCCAACGCCTCATTTGCACAGTCACAGGACCTCTAGACAGGGGCCAGGCTGTTGCTACTCAACCGTTGCCAATAGCACCCCAGGATCTCAGGCAAATCTTTGTCCACCAGGAGGGGAAGGTCCTTCCTTGCTCCCTGAAAATCACTGCTGGGGACATCTGGGAATTGGGGGCTTGAGAGATTGCCTTCCACAGACCCTGTGCTTGGCCCTGAGTCCTCAGATACACCCAAGATGAGTGCTGAGACTAGCTTTCTGCAGCCCCCTCTGCCGCCCCTCCCCCGCAGTAGGAGGAAAGGCAAGAGGCCAGAGGCAGTGGGAACACACTCAGAAACAGCCTCAGGGGTGCTCCCAGGAGCTTCCTGCAGGAGACAGCCCAGAGCAGGACCCCCTGAGGGCATGTGCCTGAAGATGTTGGATGCCCTGATCAGACTGGGGCAACAGGGACCCCCCCAACCCCCACCCCCGCCCAGGAATGCCAGCAGCAGCAGGGTGTGGGCTGACACCCCCAGGGAGAGCCAAGCAAACACCCAGAGGGTGCCACTGACCCTGAGTATCACCCGTGCTCTGACCATCCCACACCTTCTCCCCTCAGATTTGCCATGCCCACAGGCCCTGAACCCCTCAACTTGCTTCATGCAAAGCCTGTGTTCCCAGAGGCGTGTAGAACAGCTGCCGGGACTGGAGAGACCCTCGGTGAGCCCTCGGGGAACACCCCCATAGCACCACCACCGGCCTTCGCCACAGACCCTGGCAGGGAGAACCCAGTGAGTATAGACCCCCCCCCCCAATGCTCCCTGATGCTCTCCTCAAACCCTGGAGCCCAGGAAGCCTTGGGGCCAGTAGAACCCCAGAGCGGCAGCTTTGGGGCGCGGGTGGGAAGCAGATGCAACCTCTGGGCCCGGAAGCCCAGGCAGAGGCAGTTGTCAGAGGCATTCCTCAAAGGCACTCCCCAGCCCACACCCCCATTGCTGGGGACCCTGATGTTCTTCCAAAGCTGCCTGCTTCCCTTCCCACAGGGTTACCTGGCAAAGGATGTCTTTAATGTAGCCGCCACACAGCTGGTGGTCTCCTGGATCCAAGTAGTCCATGACGGTCCTGAAACGGGCAGCCAGACGCTGATCTTGCCGCTGGTCACAGCAGCCAAAGGACTGGTAGTCAGAGCAGAACTCCAGGTGCTGCGGTGGCCGGAACGGGGGCCCGTAATCCAGACACTGGGGGTGGCCCCGCAGCCAACCCACCTGGGCCACCAGCAGTGTGAAGCAAAGGCAAAAAATGCCAGCAGGGGTAGGGAGCCAGAGGGGGTGCCACTTGGGGGCACCCCTAGCTGTGGGTGGTTTCAGCATTTGGTCCCAGGAGAAAGCGCCAGCTGCCACTATGCCCAGGTTGGCGTCTTTGCTCTGGGCTGGTTCCCTCCCTCCCCCGGATTTTCCCTTCCTTCTCCTCCTCCTCCCCAACCCCCCAAGTTCACTGAGCTGGTTTCTGGGCAACATCCCTGCCGGGACCCTGGTTGGTCTGTTTGTGAAAACAGAGATGTATTCCCCCAGCCCTTCTGAGAAACTGGCACACGTCCCAAGTCCTGACTGCTGATTTATTGGGGTGCACGGCTGCTTAGCCCAAAGGTGCAATGGTGCCAGTGACTGTGGTGGTAGATTGTGAAAGCCGCAGGGAGGCAGCCAGGAAGCACACACTTTGTTTACAGTCTCAGTGGTGTAGTCCGGTCTCCATGGAGAATCCCACTCCGTGCTCAGTCCTAGACATCAGACTGGGAGGGCAAGAGGCCAGCACCCGGTGACTGCAGGGAGGTGGCAGACAGGCTGAGCTGTCTGGGGGCCCGAGAGCAGCGCACCAGACCTGGGGCAGAGGGGACAGGGCATGAGCCTGCAATCCACTGCCAGAGAGGAGTCAGCCAGGCCAACAGTTGACAGGCCACTGGACCATTCTGTCAGGAAGCAGAGAAGATGGGTCACCATTCTTCCTGTGAATAAAGGGGAGTTGTCCTGAGCATGTATCCATAGACCAATTGGTATATGGCTCAGTGTCCTTGGCTACACTCTACATCGATGCTAAAGCAAAGGATGAGACATCTCTTCACACAAACTGAAGCCTACCTATTGGCCAAAAAGAGCCACAGAGGGTCAGAGAAAGTATGGGGGTCAAGGTGCTTGCCTTGCACACTGCTTTGATCTCCTTATCTGGTCCCCTGAGCACCACCAGGACTGATCCCTAAATACAGCCAGGTGTTAGCCCTGATCATTGCTGGTGTAGCCCCCAAAGCATTTTCTTAATACTGGTATTGCATATCTACTGCTGATAAGCAGTGTTTATTATACATCATTTTCAATGTTTTACCTAAAAAGTTCAGCCCTATATCCTCATATGATGTTCTAATCATAAATTGGGAGGACTTTCTTGTCAATTTAAACACCATTCAGCACCCACAGCATATGGGTGCCTGTGTTGTTTCTTCAGGCTTGTTTGCTCAAAGATGAGATCATGCCAGGGCTTGGGAAGCCTCAGGCAGGAGACCTGGACCAAAGACAGCCAGTGAGTTCCCAGCACGACGCCTTCTCAGAACCCTGGGCGAGATGAGGAACACACACTTTCCAGGTGGGGCCTGGCTGGACTTTCCAGCAGTCACTGGCCTGGTTGTCTCAGTCTTCCTCTTGCCGTGAAAAACAGGGAGTCTAAAAAAAGAATGTCTCCTTCAGGGAAAGGAATGGTGATTTACAGAGTTATCACATTAATAGAAATCAACTTGCTATCTTGCTTTCTTGTCCTACGTCTCTTTGCTTGTTTGCTTTTCCGAGCTTGTGTTCTCTCTTGGAGAACATATATTCCTTTCCTTCTCGCACACTGCCAATGGCATCTTTTAAGTAAGTTCTGTTCAATAAAAACTATCTGGCCAGAGAGATACTACAGCAGGTAGGGCCCCCCTTGCCTTGCATGCAGCTGACCAGGGTTCAATCCCTGGCATCCCATATGGTTCCCCCAAGCCCACGAGGGATCACAGCAGCGATGTGTTCACCAAAAGAAACAAAACAAATCAACCACCAAATCTATTTTGCTTCACTAAATAATTTGAACATAATAGAACACAAGTCTTTTATCTACCAATGATGTGCATGTTCGAAGTAAACTGGATGGGGCAAATAGGCATTTCACTGCCCTCTTGACTTACATTTCTCTGATCTATGTCTATCGTTGTTTTTCCTTTTCTGTGGAAAGCCTGGGCGCGTCCTTTGCTCCATTTTTTCTGGAGTGCTTCTCCTGATGCACTTTAATCTTATGTCTGTTTGTATGTGTTGTGATTGTTTATAGATTATATTCACTTCTTTTAAAGAATCATTTGCCAAAGGCCCAACTTTTGGGGCTTTCTTTTGGGCCACAGCACAACTCCCTTGTGGTAGTGCAGATAGCACAGGTAAAACAGGGGCCTCTGTACCCACCCAGAATGGGGGAGGGTCCTAGTGCCAACAGTTACCATCTGTGGTCCTGAGCAGTTGCCTGAACTCCAATGCCCCAACTTTCTTTCCCGCTAAGGCAGGGGTGATCCATAAATGATACAAAAAAAGGTGCCTGATAAGCTTGAGAGCTATTATCCATGAAAATGGCTTTAACTTCAGAAAACATAAAAGAACTTCTGGTTTCTTTCTTTTCTTTTTTTTAATGTAGGAGTACTGCTATTTATTCAGCCACTGATTAGCTGACTGAATTGGGCATGAACTCCATCTTACTTTATTTTTTCATAATTTTATTTATTTTTTCTTATATTTATTTATTGAATCACTGTGGGAAGTTTCTGGTTTCTCTTAATGCATAATTAGAGCTGAAAATCTGATGTGAAAATTCTGAGACTAAGCTATGTGTGGAAACCAAGAGCTTTACTTACTTCTTTCATTCTCACCTCCATTTCGCTAGAGATCACAAGAATATATAAATCCTATTTTATTTTGATTAAAGATGACAGGGAGTAGATGCCCTTATAATTTAAGTCTGTTTTGAGACTTTGCCCGTATCTTCTGGGAATTTCATCCTTATGTAGTCCCACAATAAAGCTGACTCAACTCATGTGGCAGTTTTAACTTGGCATGGTTTGGTTCTGTGGGGCAGTCACTTGGAATAGTTAGACAATTGATTCTTTCTAAGTATAAAAGATTGGATTAAATTGACAAAATTTTTTCCCCAATTTTCTTGCAGATAGCTTAAAATTAGTAAAAAAGTCAATGGGAAAGATGTATGGTTTGCCATCTAAATATTAGACAGGACAACACCCTAAAGGAAAGAGAGAGCAAAAGGGAACGCCCTGCCACAGAGGCAGGGTGGGAGGGCTACTGGGATCATTGGTGGTTAAGAATGGGCACTGGTGGAGGAACGGGTAATCGATCATTGTATGACTGAAACCCAAGCACGAAAGTTTGTAAGTCTACAACTGTACCTATGGTGTTTCACTAATAAAAAAAATAAATAAATAAAATATTAGGTGGGCCAGAGTGACAGTACAGCAGGTAGGGCACTTGCCTTGCATGCCGCCAACCTGGGTTTGATCTCTGGCATCCCATATGGTCCCCCAAGCACCACCAGGAGTGATTCCTGAGTGCAGAGCCAAGAATAAATCCTTAACATTTTCAGGTGTGGTGTGTCAGTGTGTGTATGTGTGTGTGTGTGTGTGGGGGGGGGGAAGTAAGTTAGTTCATGGAACTCAAATACCAGTTATTCAGTTACGGGAGGTGTAGGACAAAACAGAGGTTGGAAGAAACACTTAACCAGTGACACAACATGTTATTATACTCGGCTCCTATTCTAGGAAAGCTGGTCTTGGCTCTGTGCCACAATTTTCCTAGTGGGTGTGACTCGAGGACACCATTTACAGTCTTCCCAATGTCCAGATAACTCTGCACCCTAGTTTCCAAGAGAAAAGAGAGGGACACATCAATTCTACAGCATGTCTGAGATTTCTGTACCATGTAAAAGACAGAAACAAAACAACCTGAATCAAAGCAATTTATCTGGAGATCATTTAGTCCCCAAAGGCCAAGTATTGATGAAAAGAGAAAGAGGAGTCTTTCTAAACCCTCTCTACCAAAAAATCCTCAACAAATTTATCACCAGGAAATTCTTTATGGAATACTTAATAGGAAACATTGAGAATCTAAAAGATATTGGGACTAGAGAGAAAGAACAGTTGGTAGGCTACTATCTTGCATGTAGCTGACTTGGGTTCAGTCCCCAGCACCCGCTATGGTCCCCCAAGCCCCACCAGGAGTGATCCCTGAGCACAGAGCCAGCCAGAAGTAAGCTCTGAGCAAAACAAAAGAATGCAAAATACAAATTCATTTATAATTCAAATCCAAATCATGTTTCATTGCATAATAACAAAAGGCAAATGACCTGCAAGGATTCAAATAAGGCTTATAGAGCTGGTTAAATAAACACATTTTTATTGGAAAAAGTATTCTTTAATAAATATTTAAAAGTACAAAAAAAGAGAACAAAAATATATTTACAAAAAGCAAAGGCCGTGAAATTTTTTTTCTCTAGATAAAACTGAGAGTAAACATAAATATAAAGATAACCTTTTTGTAGCCATCCCATCATTTATAAAACCACAAATGAGTTACCTGCTGATCTACTACTCTGTAACCTTTAATCTGAAATAACTAAAATTCAGTATCAGGGTCATGAATTTACAATACTAAATTTTTTCACTAATTTCTTTATTTGCTTGATTTTCTTCTTTAAGATTTGATGATCTTGTTTTGAAATATACCGAAAATATCTACAACCTAAAAAAAAAAAAGGCAAAACAATGAGTCTTAGTTATCAGCATCAACTAATAAACTCTTACATTTCAATTTTTCCTTACTCACCCTGGCGCATTAATAATCACACAGCCTGATCAGTGCTGGAGAGCTGCCCTCTGGCGGGGAGCCTCTTCCCAGCAGGAGGCCTGAGCCTCAGTCCCCAGAGTTTGGTTCTGAGGTTCGCCAGGAGCAACCCTTGAGCACTGAGCTGGGAATGGTCCCAAGCACTGCAGTGTGGCCCCCCGAACAAAAGAAAAACAAAAATTTATATATCATCTATACCAAAATATCACAAGCATATTTTAAGAACAACTGTCACAGAATAACACTGCTCCTGCTATATGCAGAAAGATATAGATAATCTTTGTTTCTTTTTTATTAGGGATGGGATGGAGTGTTTGGTGTTTTAGTTATATTCACCAGTGCTCAGGGCTTATTCCTGACTCTGCGCTCAGGGGACCACACATAGTACAGGGATTGAACCCAGGCCTGCTGTGTTCTGTCTGGCCCCACAAAGATATTTCTGACTCAGGATAATTAAAGCTTATTCTCTCCCCTACTCCCAAACATTAGGGAACATTTTACATATGCATTTCACTAGATATGATAAACAGACCTTCTCCAAGAGCAAACTGCACTTAACGTTAGCTTGCGAATCAAAGAAGCATCTCCCTCCCAAAGAATGTTCCCAAGAGAAACTGTGGAGACTAGGGGTTAGACCAAACCAGTCAGTGGGGAAGAAATGAACATTGCCAGTACTCTAGCCTTTGAGCAAGTGGCTGGGTGGTACAGACGTCATCCCTGACTTCCAGGCCAGCTCTCTGCCAGCTGTATTTGCTTTCAGTCTAACAAAGTTAAGAGGATCACTTGAGTAATGTTTTAGAACAAAGCCCAAATGTTTATCGAAGATAAATGCATACTGGATAGTGTAAAAGTTGTCTGCTTCTTTCGGTGGGGGGGGAGGGGGGGTGGACTCCTAAAGCGGTGCTCAGGAGGCCTGGGGTCACTCCCAGTGCATCTGCCAGCCAGTGAGAAGCTCAGGCCTGGAGAGGTAGGGCTACCACTCAGGCCCGATTCTGCTGCAGTGCTTGGGGCTTCCAACTTGTGTGTGTACCAGCCCCCTGAGCTATATTCCTGCACTCTTCTAAGAGATTTTTTAAAATATTTTATAAATCAGGCTTGAAGCGATAGTACAGCAGGGAGGGCATTTGCCTTGTACATGGCTGACTCGGATTCAATCCCCGACATCCCATATTGTCCCCCAAGCACCACCAGGAGTGGTTTCTGAGTGCAAAGCCAGGAGTAACTTCTAAGCATCGCTGGGTATGACCCAAATAGAAAAAAAAAATTATAAATGAATGAATGAAACCTTACATTATATGTGAAAAATTAATCTGATTATAGTTTTAGTTTAGTTATATCTCTGTCTTCTCTGGGAAAATATTAGAGTAAATAATATGTCTAGAGTAACCATTTTATTATCTCTGAAAAATAATATTCCAGAACTGCTACTGTATTAGTGAAACTCATTCGATCACTTATTTCTGAAAATGTTTACAAACATTCCCCATCCCCAATAATCAGAAAACATACTGGAGAGATGGAGGTGAAGGTGCATGCATACACCCAGACCTGGCTCAACTCCAGCACCACGTGCGGTGCCCCCAGGAGCCCAGAGCACAGAGCCAGGAGTAAGTCCTGAGTACCACCAGGTGTGCCCCCAAAACATCCCCTCTCAAATAAATTTTAAAAGTAAAAGAGTCCCCAATTTAGAAAAAAAAATCATAAAGAGATGTCTACTTTTAGTTAAAATACAGAAAGCTGGAGAGAAATCTGCTCCCACTCTAGCATAAACGGAAAAAAGCCAATAGACTCCACATTCCGTTATCTCCTCTCATACAACAGACCTAAACTGCCTTAGCAGCAAGGAGGAAAGGAAGCCGGGGGGGGGGGGGGGGGGGGGGGAGGGCGGGGGGAGACAGGCCTACCACGGGCAAGGGGAGGGCTCCCCATCCCACCCTCAGCCTGAAGCAAAGTGACAAAGTGATCCAAGGCTGGAATGATAGAAAATAGCATGAGGAAAAGTTTCCATCACTAGCTCACTCCAGAGCACAGTGGCTGCATTCTCAAACCTCCAGGGAGAACAGGCCCATCTGCAGGCATAACTGCTTGTTTCATAGATACTTTAGAATCTTCCCTAGGAACTGTACTAGATAAACTGTAATAGGAATACATGGTCATGTTCTGTAATCCCAAAACTGTTCAAAAGCTGTATCTAGATAAAAACAACAAAAATACATGTACCTCTTCCTAACAATATTCCAGCTACCAGAGCTTTCTCACAAGCCAAAGTTTTCTCCTCCTTCCAATCACTTTTTGCCCAAAAAAAGCTGAAGTGAAAGTTTGGCCACCAACTTTTCCTGGAGTTCCATTCCTCCTGAACCCAGGCGAGATGATTCCTGCGAAAAAAAAAAGGGCATAAAAAGGAAACGCTCATAACAGAACAGAGCCATGCAGCTAGATTTTGTATTTAAGTAGCATCCTTGGAAAGAAGACAAGGAAAATGTTTGCAAATTCGCTTCTGAGCATGGCCATGCATAGCACACGCTTGAAGCAATCACTCAACATGCATGGCCGGAGCACATGGTGTGCATGAGGGATCCCTGTGTTAATTCCCAAGCAGCACTGGTGGAGACCCCAGCACAGAGCCAGGGACAGCGACTGAGGTTCATAAACACAACTGTCATTCTGCGCAGGAAAGCTTTTATAGTGTTTTGGATTAGAAAACGGTTTTTAACTAGGTTGACGAACACATCATACCTAACACATTTCATAATCAAACATTGTTCTAGCTGCAAAATCAAGTCCAATCTGAAGCTTAAAACAAGATCTTGTTAATAATGAATTTCCTAATAAAGAAAAGGGAATAACTTTTCTGCCCCAAACCACTAAGTGCTGAGATATGGATACATGCCAATAAAAAGAAACTCACTGGGTCTTCTCCCCTGATCTGCGCGGGACGGGCACGGAGGCCCAGCTCTGGGCAACAAAGCTGAACGGCTCCAATTCCAACCAGAAAGCCGGTTTTCTCCCCTGATCTGCGCGGGACAGGCACAGAGGCCCAGCTCTGGGCAACAAAGCTGAACGGCTCCAATTCCAACCAGGTACAGCCCGCCCCCAAGGGCCTGGGACCCTCTCTGGGCATGCGCAGCTAGATCCATCTCCTAGAAAGCCGGTTTTCTCCCCTGATCTGCGCGGGATGGGCACGGAGGCCCAGCTCTGGGCAACAAAGCTGAACGGCTCCAATTCCAACCAGGTACAGCCCGCCCCCAAGGGCCTGGGACCCTCTCTGGGCATGCGCAGCTAGATCCATCTCCTAGAAAGCCGGTTTTCACCCCTGATCTGCGCGGGACGGGCACGGAGGCCCAGCTCTGGGCAACAAAGCTGAACGGCTCCTCATTCCAACCAGGAGACGTTTCCAACTTCTCGCCCAGTGCCAGGGACTCTTTTTGGACCCGCGGCCGCATTAGCGGCTGAGAAATATTTTCCCACTGCATATGCCATAGGAACCATAAGCTACCTTCTTAGATGGAAACTTCTCTAGTTTAGCTCAGCCACTAGAAACACAGTAGCCAATAACTCATAAGCCTATCTTAACTCACACTGAATATCAAGCAGAATAGTAACAGTGAACGTGAAGGACTAAACCACACTTGTCACAATGGTAAAGTCACGCAAAAGCCCACCAAACTTTCTTATTGAAGAGTCTAGCCCAGATGACACCAACAGTACTGTAGTGTTAGACAACCTCATTGACAAGGAATTCAGAAGGGAGCTACTTAGGATGCTTAGGGAACTAAAAGAAACAATGGAAACCAATGCCAATAAAAGACAAGAGGATCTGAAGGCAGAAATGAGGAAAATGCAATCAGAAATGCTGGACCTGAAAAACCTGGTAGGCGAATTGAAAAACTCAGTGGAAGGCCTCAGCAGCAGAGTAACAGCGGCTGAGAACAGAATCAATGAGCTCGAAGATGAAGTTCAGAGACTCACCAGAAAAGAGCAGAAAATGGAAAAGAGACTCACAGTTCGGGAACAGATGGCAAGAGAAGATCGTGATGAAGCCAAGAGGGGTAACATAAGAATTATTGGAGTCCCAGAGGGACAGGAAGAAAACCTTGATGAAGAAGAAACTGTCAAAGACATCATTGCTACAACGTTTCCAGAGCTGAAGAAAACTTGTGACCACATTCAGGAGGCCCGAAGGGTACCAGCTAGAAGAAATCCGAATAAAAATACCCCAAGACACATCCTGATCAAAATGACCAAAACCTTAGACGGAGACAAAATTCTGAGAGCAGCAAGATCGAAGAAAGAAATCTCTTACAAAGGAGCATCCTTAAAATTCACAGCTGATTTTTCTGATGAAACCCTCATGGCCCGAAAACAGTGGTGGGACACAGTGAAAAAACTCAATGAAATAAATGCCTCCCCAAAAATACTTTACCCAGCAAGACTCTCATTCATAATAGAAGGAACAACACACAGTTTCACAGACAAACATCAGCTCAGGAACTTCATAGACTCAAAACCATGGTTACAAGAACAACTAAATGGGCTACTTTAAGGCAAGAAAGGTCCCTCAAATACACAAAATTTCAACAGAACAATGGGACAAAATCCCATAACAATAATCTCTCTCCATCTCAATGGGCTAAACGCACCGATTAAAAGACATAGAGTGGCAGGATGGATTAGATAATTGAACCCAACATTCTGCTGCCTGCAAGAAACACATCTCAATAGTCAAAGCAAACACAGACTCAGAGTCAAAGGCTGGAAAACAATCCTACAGGCAAACAGCTCCCATAAAAAAGCTGGGGTAGCCATCCTAATATCAGACCACATCGATTTCAGAGTGAGGAAAGTCATAAGAGACAGTGAAGGCCATTTCTTATTGATCAAAGGATCTGTACAACAGGAAGACTTACAATAATAAATGTATATGCACCTAATGAGAGACCAGCAAAGTACTTAAAACAACTACTCATAGATTTGGAAAAAGACATCAATAGCAACACAATACTAGTGGGAGACTTCAACACCACTTTGTCACCTCTTGATAGATCAACCAGACTCAAGCTTAGCAAGGACATACTTCATCTGAGGGAAACAATGGAAGAAAGGGACTTAGTAGATATATACAGGACACTTCATCCACAAAAAGCTGAATGCACATTCTTCTCAAGCGTACATGGAACATTCTCCAAGATAGACCACATGCTGAGCCACAAAACATGCCTCCATAAAATTAAGAAGATAGAGGTTGTATCAACAATCTTCTCAGACCATAATGCACTGAAATTTGAAGTAAATCACACACAAAAACAGAAAACTAAATCAAACACCTGGAAATTAAACAGTGCGCTATTGAAAAAAGAGTGGCTTAGTCAGGAAATCAAAGAGGAAATCAAAAGATTCCTAGAAACGAATGAAAATGAGAACACGAGTTACCACAACTTATGGGACACAGCAAAAGCTGTGTTAAGAGGAAAGTTTATAGCTCTACAAGCATTCCTCAGGAAGGAGGAGTGAGCACACATAAGCAACCTAACCTCACAGCTTAAGAGCTTGGAGAAGGACAAAAAAAGGAGCACAACCCGAACAGGAGAAAGGAAATAATAAAACTCAGAGCAGAGATTAACGAGATGGAAACCCAAAAAACAATCCGAAAGATCAATGAACCAAGGGCTGGTTCTTCAAGAAAATTAACAAGATCGGTAAGCCTCTAGCAAAACTCACAAAGAAAGGGAGAGAGAAAACCCTAATAAACCGAATCAGAAATGAAAAGGGGGTCATTACAACAGAAACTACAGAAATTCAAAGGATCCTCAGGGAGTACTTTGAGAAGCTTTATGCCACGGAACATCAAAACCTCGAGGAAATGGATAAATTCCTAGACTCCTACAGACTCCCAAGGCTGAACCAAGAAGACCTGGAATACCTGAACAGACCTATCACCATCAAGGAAATTGAAATGGTAATAAAAAGTCTCCCCAAGCACAAAAGTCCTGGCCCGGATGGATTCACTAGTGAATTCTTCCAAATCTTTAAAGAAGACTTACTCCCAATCCTCTTTAAGCTTTTCCACGAAATTGAAATATCAAAAACACTTCCGAACAGTTTCTACGAAGCAAATATCACACTGATACCAAAAGCAGACAGAGATACCATAAAGAAAGAGAATTATAGACCGATATCCCCGATGAACACAGATGCAAAGATCCTCAACAAACTACTAGCAAATAGAATCCAACTACTTATCAAAAAGATCATACACCATGACCAAGTAGGATTCATCCCAGGGATGCAAGGATGGTTTAACATTCGGAAATCAATCAACATAATCCATCATATCAACAAAAGAAAAGATAAAAAGCATATGATTATATCAATGGATGCAGAGAAAGCATTTGACAAGATCCAGCACCGCTTTATGATGAAAACCCTAGCCAAAATGGGTATAGAGGGGACCTTCCTCAACATAATTAAAGCCATCTACCACAAGCCTACAGCAAGCATCATCCTCAATGGGGAAAAACTGAGAGCCTTCCCTCTAAGATCAGGGACGAGACAAGGATGCCCACTATCTCCACTGCTGTTCAATATAGTACTGGAAGTACTTGCAATAGCGATTAGGCAAGAAAAAGATATTAAGGGCATTCAGGTAGGAAAGGAAGAAATCAAGCTCTCACTATTCACAGATGATATGATACTCTACTTAGAGAACCCAATAACCTCCACCAAAAATCTCCTAGAAACAATAGACTCGTATAGTAAAGTTGCAGGCTATAAAATCAATATCCAAAAGTCCATGCCTTTCCTATACGCAAACAGTGAGAGAGAAGAAAACAACATGAAAAAAACAATCCCGTTCACAATTGTGCCCCAGAAAATCAAGTACCTAGGAATCAGCTTAACTAAGGAAGTAAAGGACTGTACAAAGAAAACTACAAAACGCTACTTCAGGAAATAAAAGAGGACATGAGGAAATGGAAAGATATCCCCTGCTCATGGGTCGGGAGACTTAACATTGTCAAAATGGCAATACTACCGAAAGCATTGTATAAATTCAATGCAATCCCTATAAGGATACCCATGACATTCTTCAAAGAAATGGAGCAAACACTCCTGAAATTTATATGGAACAATAAGCCCCCACGAGTAGCTAAAGCAATTCTTGGGAAAAAGAAAATGGGAGGAATCAACCTCCCGAGCTTCAAACTGTACTACAAAGCAGTAATAATTAAAACAGCATGGTACTGGAACAAAGGCAGAACTGCAGACCAATGGAACAGGGTTGAATACACTGACATCTCCCCTCAATCATATGATCATCTGATCTTTGATAAAGGTGCAAGTTATGTGAAGTGGAGTAAGGAAAGCCTCTTTAACAAATTGTGCTGGCATCACTGGACGGATACATGCAAAAAAATGGGCTCAGAGCTCTGCCTAACACCATGTACAAAAGTAAGATCAAAATGGATTAAAGACCTCAACATCAGACCAGAAACCATAAGGTACATTGAAGACAAAGTTGGCAAAACCCTCCATGACACTGAAGCTAATGGTATCTTCAAAGATGCCACGCCACTGGCCGAGCAAGTAAAAACAGAGATAGATAAATGGGACTATCTTAAACTAAGAAGCTTCTGCACCTCCAAAGAAACAGTGACCAAAATACAAAGACAGTCTAGAGAATGGGAAAGGATATTCACCGAATACACATTTGACAAGGGGTTGATATCCAGGATATACAAAATACTGGTTAAAATCCACAAGAAGAAAACATCCAACCCCATCCAAAAATGGGGCAATGAAATGAACAGAAACTTTCTCAAAGAAGAAATCCGAATTGCTAAAAAGCACATGAGAAAATGCTCTACATCATTAATCATCAGGGAGATGCAGATCAAAACCACAATGAGATACCATCTCACACCTCAGAGACTGGCCCACGTTCAAAAGAACAAAAGCAACCGATGCTGGCACGGATGTGGCGAGAAAGGGACACTCCTTCACTGTTGGTGGGAATGTCGACTGGTTCAGCCCTTCTGGAAAACAGTATGGACGATTCTCAAAAAATTAGAAATTGAGCTCCCATTTGACCCAGCAATACCACTCATGGGAATATATCCCAGAGACGCAAAAATGTATAGTCGAAGTGACATCTGCACTTGTTTGTTCATTGCAGCACTCTTTACAATAGCCAGAAACTGGAAGAAACCCGAATGCCCAAGAACAGATGACTGGTTAAAGAAACTGGTACATCTACACAATGGAGTACTATGTAGCTCTTAGAAAAGATGAAGTCATGAAATTTACATACAAGTGGTACAACATGGAAAGTATCATGCTAAGTGAAATGAGTCAGAAAGAGAGGGATAGACATAGAAAGATTGCATTCATCTGGGGGATATAAAGTAACAAAATATGAGATTAATACCCAAGAATAGCTGAGATCAGCACCAGGAGGATTACTCCATAACTTAGAGGCCAGCCGGGTATTCTAGGGGAAAGGGCAGTTCAGATAGAGAAGGGAGCACCAAATAAAGGGTGTTTGAAGGATCCTCCCAGGAGGGGAGATGCATGTCGAAAATAGACTATGGACTGAACATGTTTGCCACTCAATGTCTCTTTTGCAGACCACAACACCCAAAACGAGAGAGAGAACACAGGGGATTGCCCTGCCACAGAGGCAGGGGGAGATGGGGGGATGGGGGTGAGGGGGATATTATCCATGGTGGTGGAAAATGGGCACTGGTGGAGGGATGGGTATCTGATCATTGTATAATCGAAACCCAAGCACAAAAAATTGTAAATCTACAACTGTAAAAAAAAACCAACTTTTTCTTGAGGCATTTAAAAAAACATAAATGCAGTAATGAAATATAGAGAAAAAAAAAAAGAAACTCACTGTGTACTAAAACAGTAAGATACAATGAAACTTAATTTTGCATTTATTCTTATCTCCTCTCACAAAGTAAACAGACAAGGGCCACCCCTTCCTTTTTCACTTCAAAGGCCTCAGCAGTGACATCGGATTGGATCTGCAGTTTTATATCTATGGTCAGAGGTATCATTTGCAGCTCAGGCTGGAGTTAATACTGAAGAATAAGCTGCAATGGGCTGGCTCGCTCTTTAAGCCATGTTCTCCCCTGAAGACATACATCACTAGTTTGTCTCTTTGTTTTTTCCACTCTGGAGAAGCCACTGCTCTCTCTCAAACAGAGCCTTCCTCTCCTTCTCTTCCCTCACATCTAAGAAAATCTCGATAAAAACTATCTTGCTTCACCAAAAACAAAACAAAATAAACAAACAAAAACTTCTGATGGATTGCTGAGGCCTGAACACTGCAATGAAAATGACTGGAAGCAGCTAAGTAGGCAATACATAACCAAAAAAAGGGTGAGGAGAGACCCTTCAGGCCTTTTTCTAATCTGAAAACACTCATGTTCCTAGCACTATAAAGGGCAGGTAGCAGGTATAAGAGTCATTTTGGGGGCTGGAGCAATAGTATAATGGATAGGACATTTGTCTCGCTGACCCAGGTTTGATCCCCAGCATCCCTCCCCCAAGCACCACCAGGAGTAATTCCTAAGTACAGAGCTAGGAATAACCCCTGAGCATTGCTGGGTGTGACTACCCCCCCACCCCAAAAAAAAAGGAAAAGAATTCGACAGCGTGAAAAACCTTGATAATGGTCAGGGAGATGTTCCAAGGGCTAAGTCTATGCTCTGCATATGGAGGTGCTGGATTCAACCGAGCATCTATCTTGCGGTCACTGCAGTATTGCAGGGAGCCATCCCTGAGTTCTGTGCCATAAGGACCACCCAGCATACTCCAAAACTCAAAATTCACACAGAAAAGATCTTGAATAGCAATTTTTTGGGGGGAGGGGGAGGAGTAGGAAGGGGAGGAAGAGGAGGAGAAGGAAGAGGAGGAGCAGAAGGAGGAGGATCGATTAAGAAATCCCCAAGTGGCCAGGAGATGGCGGGTCCGGATGAGGCATTACTGCCAGCTCCTTCCCTGGCACTGCCCCATGTGCCAAGTAAGTACCAACCTCTGCAGTCTGACACTCCAACTGCACAGCCATCATTATAGTAGGGAACAGCAGCAGAGGGAAGGGAGGGGAAGGTATCCCCAACTCCGAGAGCACGGTGAAGGAAGGCGAGAGTCAAGATGAGGGCAGGAGACAGCGCGCAGGGCTGCAGCTCAGTGTGGAGGATGCTTGGGTCTCATCACTAGAAGCACATGTCCTTCCCAAAGCACCAGAAGAAATAACCCCTAAGCCCTGTGCAGGAAATAGCCCCCAGCATCAGTGGCATGACCCCCAAACCAAGCCCCAATAATAGTAATAATAATAATAGAGAGATAAGAGATATAAAGGAGCCGAGCAATAGTACAGGGGGTAGGGGGCATCTGCCTTGCAGGTGGCTGCCAACCTGAGTTCAATCCCCAGCATGCCATATGGTCCCCCAGGCCTGCCAGAAATGATTCCTGAGTGCAGAGAGAGGAGCAACTTCTGAGTATCACTGGGTGTGCCCGCCCCCCTCCAAAAAGACCACGAGTGTGATATTTACTTACCTCATTAAGATCTGTCTGAGATATTTGGCCAAGTATTTCCAGGCAGTTATATTTTTAGTGCAACCAGAAAAATCTAAGACTCCAAACAATACTTCCAATCCCAGTTTATGATGTTCTTCTTTTCCTGCAATGATCATCAAAATGGGAATTTAGATAAGATATCGAAATGCTTAAAGCTAACAGAGTATATTTAATGGTTTCAGTGGGATGGGATCCTAAGTTTTCTAAGATTTGAGTCTGACTGTATAATTGAAACCCAAACACAAAAATTTGTAAGTCTACAACTGTACCTCATGGTGTTTCACTAATAAAAATTAAAAAAAAATTTTGAGTGATTAGGAACTTGAAAGTATTCACATGTTCATACTTAACGATCTTAGTCCATGACAATAAAGCAAGGGCACATGGCTGAGTGCTGGCAGGCTCTAGACTCCTGAAGACATTACTGACTGCTCCTGCCCCATCCGAGTATTTTATTTGCGGTCCCATCTATTAGAAATACGATCAAGGTTGACCCAATAATTTGTGAAAATCATCGTAGTTCAGGTCCCATGTTTACAACAGTGTCAGTATTTATAGTTTCGATGCATACAGTCACCACATCTCACCCCCACCAGGGCTGCCTGCTCCTTCTGGCCCACCTCACCACGCCCTGCCTGCTCCTGCCCTATCCTCTGCTTTACACCAAGGGGCTGCTGTCCTTGCTGAATACCATCTATTCCCTTGTTTTGTTTCCCCTCCAAACCACAGGGCTGAGGCAAGGTAGACTCTTTCCTATACCGAGCTGAAACCCAAAAGCGAAGAAAAACAAGGTGAATCAGAGAAACTGGAGCCATTTCTTTTCTATTACTGCCAAATATTCTACCACAGTTGTCAAAAAATGTTCTTCTGTTAGAAGGTCCTTTTAAAGACAATAAAGATCTGAGAGCTGAGCAAGCCTCGTTATATCTGCCACAACTTCAGCACACTGTGTCATGCTGGAAAAGCTCCCAGATACGGTAAGGGAAGGAATGCAAAGAGCTGCCTTCTAGGGCTGAGGAAAGAGAACAGTGAGGAGGGCGTGTGCCTTGCACGTGGCTGACCTGGGTTCCCGCCCCAGCACTGCACATGATGCTCCGAGCACTGCCAGGAGTAATCCCTGAGCACAGAGCCAGGAGTAATAAGCCCTGAGAACTGCTGGTGTGTTTCAACAGAACCTGCCTCATTAAAATAGGCAAGTAGTGGAATTGGTTCATGGGCTGTCTAGTCGGGGGTCCCTAGACTACCACTAGTCTGCGCAAAGAGATAAAAAACCAAACATTACCTGATTTTCTCAGTAATCTATGGAGTTCTAACATCAGTGTATGAGATGGTACAATCTGATATAAAATCTGGAAAAAAATAATCCTGTGATTTTTCATGGTAGTCTAAAGGCATTTTTAAAATTCCATTTTGCTTCCCAGATGAAGGTCTTTCTAACATGCACTCAATACACAGATTTAAAAGACAGCTGACTGAGGTTGGAGAGACAATATAAAGGGTAGGGCAATGACCTTGCCTGTGGCAAACCCAGGTTCACTCCCCACCACCCCATAATGTTCCATGAGTCCCATCAGGAGTAATCAGAATGGCCACATAGCCCTGAATCTGGCGCAAAAACCTCCCAAAAATTAAACTGAAAAATAAAAAATATTAAATACTTGATTTGGGCCAGAGTGGTAGTACAACAGGTAGGGCACTTTCCTTTGTAACTCACAGTGCTATAATAAAATTTTTAAAAAAGAAGATTCAAACTAAATTTTATTTCTCATTTTAACACTCAATCTGAGATTCAAAATCCTCATTAATCTGCTGGCTGATATACTTTAGCTTTACAATGAAGTAATTTCCTGGAAAACCAATGAATTAGTCTTGTTAATTCTCTTCATAACAGGGAAGATAATGAGAAATGACACAAATTTGGAAAAGAGCAGCTGACAGTTACACGAAACTGTAAGCAGACTTACTACAAAGCATGAGCTGAAAATTTTGCTGTTTTTTACCACAAGAAGTCTATTTTTTAAGCAAGAACGTATAGAGCCACATCATCTACATAACATATAAATTTTACAAAGCTTGTACATACAAAGTATAAAACATTTCATCCAATGAAAGACCAAGCTGACCAGACACACACAAGATTCACAGCTAAGAAATCTCAAGACTCAAGATGTTGATTCTCTCAAAACAGACCTATAGATTCAAAACAGTAGCACAAATGTTTTGTAGCTGGGTCCACAGGGATAACACAGGGGTTAGGGCACTCATTTTGCACACAGCTGAATACAGTTTTATCCTCAGCACAGCATAGGGTCCCCCAAGCACCTCCTGGAGTGATCTCTTGAACAAAGCCTGCACACCGCCAGGTGTGGCCCTAAAACAGAAAAGTTCACATACACTTCTGAGCTATTCCACACTGATAGCCAATGACATTACAGCCAGACGAAAATATATGTGCACAAAAGGATGCGTGCATGAATGCTAGCTTTCATGATAGCCAAGAAGTAAAACCAGCCCAACCATCCATCCAGAAGGGAATGTGTAAAATCATCTACCCAGCAGTGATAAGGAACAAATCACTGATACAATAATCTGGATGTATCTCAAAGACATTAAGCTGACCAAGAAAAGCCAATGGAGGAAAATAAAATAAATATTGTTAAGATTTCACTTTTATGAAGAGATCGAATTAATACACAGTGATGCACAGCAAATTAATGATTCCCTTGGTATATGAATGGATTAGCTACAGAGAGAAATGGGTGGACTGGTTATACAGAAAAATTAGGGGCTTTCTAAGGTTAGGAAAATGCTGAATATAGTAGTTATCAGCAGTCACAACAACGTACACACTGATTAAAAAGGCCAGAGAGACAGCACGGGTGAAGGTGCAAGTTCGTATATGATCCATACAGGTTCAGTCCTTGGCACCACTTAGCCCCTAAGATCTGTCAGGTGCAGCCCGAGTGGGCCCTGAGCACTTACGGATGGTCTTGGGGATGACCCCCTGGCCCCAGCACTGGCTGGGAGATGTAGGAGGCCCCCAGGGCCTTGACACACCACTTGCACTGAACTATCAATCTGGCTGGCAGAGAATCACTGTGTGATTCTGTGTGTGCACGCGTGCGCACACGTGTGTATGTGTGTGTTGTGTGTGTGTGCGCATGCGTGGGGGGGGTTGGAGTGGGAGGGAAGGGGGTGCGGGAGGCACCCCAAGGTCATCTGAGCATTGCTCTGACAGACTCCTATCCCCAGAAAAACCACCCAACCAAATGTAATTTAAAATAGGAGTAGCATAATATGTAAATTAGTTGCAGTAAAGGTGATTTTCAAAGGGTAGCAATGCAGCACTTTCTAATTAGGGTAATAGAAGGTTTCTGAAATGTGACTTTCCCCTCTCCTCAGCCTCATCTTGGGGCAGTGTGATTAGGGCAAAGATGGCCAATGGCAGGAGGTCACCCAAGACCGCAGCCCCTCCTCAGCTTACCCCATGTACTACACATGTACTGTAATTTTCTCCTGCTGTTCTAGCATGCAAGCTGGAAAACAGTGACTCAAGCATGTTTTATAGTAGACTTGTTCAAACATGGAAATATATACTGTACCTTAAGCACACTTATCAGTTTCTCTTGGGGAGCCTTCTCTCTCTTTAGAAAGTTGTAGAGGTAGATGTGGGCATTGGGGTTGGATGGAAACTTCTCGTCATAGGCGTAATTGGTGAGGACCTCCCGGGCTCCATCTCGATCCCCATAGAAATCCAGCATCTGTATAAAATAAGTCACTAGCGCAGGGACTCCGAACCAGGCTATTTTCACTCGGGGCACCCCAGAAGGGGCGGGTGAGAGCCCTCCCCTCCCCAAGGGACCCAGACCCGGCAGCCAACCTCCACTACCCAACTGCTGCCACACTCCAGGTCGCTTTCTGGACCAAGCGGCTGCAAAGCATACATATCATAAGACACTTCCTACCCATTTTCCATAATTACCACACCATGTTTGATGGGATTCAGACAGTCGGCAACAAATCACAGAGAGAAATACATATATATGTCTCTCGGAGAGCCCGGCAAGCTACCAAGAGTATCCCGCCTGCACGGGCAGAGCCTGGAAAGCTCCCCATGGTGTATTCAATATGCCAAAAACAGTAACTATAATAGGTCTCATTCCCCTGACCCTGAAGAGCCTCCAATCATTGAGAGGCTGCTAAAACTCAGGGCTGGGACAAATAGAGACGTTACAGGAGCCCAATCGAATAAATCGACAAACAAGATGACAGTGATACAGTGATCTTAGAGCAAGTAAAACCACTGTCTAGGGGCTGGAGCAATAGCACAGCAGGTAGGGCGTTTGCCTTGCACGCGGAAGATCCAGGTTCAATTCCCAGCATCCCATATGCTCCCCCGAGCACCGCCAGGAATAATTCCTGAGTGCATGAGCTAGGGAGTAATAACCCCTGTCCATCGCTGGGTGTAACCCAAAAAGCAAAAAAAGAAAAAAAAAACACTGTCTGAAAGATGATGCCCAACTTACTGTATGTTGGGTACCATAACATAAGGTTGGCAGAACTTGCCACCCAGAGAACCGCATTAGTGCCAGTTTTTGCTTTCACCAGCATGTAGCAACTTGGTGGGAAAAAGTCTGCTTTTAGTAAGGCCTACATGGCTTTCCATTTTGTTCTTGACCATATTTTGTTACTGAAAATGCAGCAATTCAATCTAAGAACTGTTCCTGTATTTCATTTCTATGAGACACTCAAAGTGGGACCCACTCACAATGGAGAAAAATGATGTTCTGCACCCCAGGGCCCCGCCCCATTATTCAGCCCTAAGCAATGGATGGGACCCCACAGTCTCCACCCATTTCCTCCTGCTCCTTCCATGGGACACCTGGGCTCACTGGTCTCTGGTGTCAGAGATTGTCCTCTGACAACACATTGACCTCTTTTATACTTATCAAATATTCCAAACAAAAAATGATTATGAAAATTCAATTCTGGCTCAGTGTCAAGGTTCCTGGTTCTTCGATAATGAGCAAAATAACAGAACATCCTTCAGATTTTCCGAAAGCCATTATGCTGCATCCCATTTGAGACCTCACTTCGTACTTTGTCCCTTGACCTCCACTAGCTCATCACATATTTCTACTTTTCTCTGAAGCCCCATAAGACAGAATTGGGGCCAGAGAGACCACCAGGGGTTAAAGCACTGGCCTTGCACATGGATGATGCCGGCTAACTCCCAGCACTCTCTGGTATGCCCCTAGAGGCCCTCAAACTCCATAAGGGTGTCCTGATTGTCCCCAGATAACTGCAGATCAGAGCAGCACCACATGCTCAGCCTTGGCACTGCACCATCAGCTCAGCTGGCTGGCAGCCACAGGCGACCTGAACCCAAGCAGCTTGGGAGGCTGCCCCTACCCTGCTCTGCCTTGCGCATGACCAATCCGAATTTGATCCCTGGCACCACATATAGTTCCCTGAACCCACCAGGAGTAATCCCTGAGCACAGAGCTAAGAGTAAGCTCTGCGCATTGCTGGTTGTGGTCCAAATAAAACTAAACAAAACAACAACAAAAATCCACACAAATGTCATTTGTAACCCTACTGTCATTTTATAAATGTGTGTTGCCCAACTGTGAAAAAAGATTAACATTTACAATACACTAGAAAATTAAGATTTGGACCAAAAGATCATAACATTTTTATTCATTTTCAAAAGAGAATTTTCTCCATCATTTGCCTTATCATCAATAAGAATTTGCATAGAAAAACAAAATTAATAAAACTTTATGAAAAGTCTACTTACCTCCACATAACTTTTCACAAAAGGATCCCAAACTCCAGGAATTTGAATCAATGAAGCAAAGTTCATAGATGTCTTCCAGCTACTGTTACGCATATTCTGGGAAGCTGTGTTATAAGCATAATCATCTTCATCTGTCCAAAGAAAAGATTTTCAAAAATCATTCAGTACTGAATACTTCTGATGAGTAAGAGATAAGCAACTACCCACAAGAAAATCTGCATTCATAGTAAATTTTAACATTTAAAAAATATTAAAAAAAAAACCTCCCAGCTTGCTCTGAAACCAACATTGCCCTGACACAAAAGAAAAACAAACATAAAAATATATAAACGACTATATTATAGATAAATACAAAAATCCTAAATACCAGAAAAAATGAGTCCAGCAACATATAATAAATGATGTACCAGGCACAAATGGGATCTATTTTAAGAATCGCAAAATCGATTACTGTAACACTTCTAAAATAAATGGAACAAGGAATTATCTCAACAATGTAGGAAAAACCCAGGACAACATGGTAACCCTCCAAGATAAAAACGTAACCATTAGAAATAGAAGGAACTTTTTCAGGCTGATAAGTCATCTATAAATAACTGGCTCTCGTATCAGACTTAATGGTAAAAGGTCACAGAGAGGACAGAACGTCCTCTCTAGACCTTTCTATTCCACAGTAGTCCAGAGGCCCAGTGCCAGGCAATCCAGCAAGATAATACCATAGAATATACACACTGGAAAGAAAAAAGCAAAACCATCTCTTACTTGCAGGTGCCATGATGTTTTATATAGAAAATCCTAAGAATCCACTAATAGGCTCAAGGGTTGCAGGATATAGACAATTATCAAGTGAGCAAGGCTGGAGAGAGAGCACACTGGGCAGGGCACTTGCTTTGCACACAGTGCTGGTCTGGGTTCAATCCCAGGCACTCCACCTGTTATCCTGAGCGACGCGGACACCATCCCCCGCCCCCGCCCCCCTCCCGCCCCCCCGCAGACTGATCCCTGAGTGCAGAGCCAGGAGTAAGTCCTAAGCACTGCTAGATATAGATATAGCCCCCCGCCTCCACACACACACCCAAAGAGAGAAAGAGAAAGGCAAAAAAAGTGTTTCCTCCCATCTCCCTCAGCGAGGCTAGTACTGGGCTGTAGTGCACTGATCAGTCATGTTCGAGTGTCAGGGACCACAATGACAGGGCCCATGATCCAACTCACAGCCACACACATGTAGTAGGCGCTCTACTGCTGAACAACATTTCCAGCACTGAAAATGTATCTTTAAGAGAAGGGGAATCCCAAGTATAAGGTACAAACTTCCTACGGAAGGGGGGGTCTTGGCTGCTTCCTATCAACCTGGACAGGCCACAGAGAGGAACATCACGAACCAAACTCCCAACGTACATTCCCGTGTGCTGTGAGTCTGACTACAGATACGAGTCTCGGCCTGTTTTCTCATTAAGTGGACATTCTGAGAATTAGAACCATGGAAAGACCTGCACAGACAACTCCATCGTCATCACCTGTCGCTACAGAACCAAGCATCAGTCACAGAAAGGTACTGAGTCATTTGCCTGTGGAACTGAGAGCGTAAGCGCCACGTTTCAACTGGGTTAACTGGCAAATATTTGCATAGGTTCTCTCTAACCACGTGTCAGAAGAAAAGTAAATATTAACTTTACAACCCACTTAATCAGTTAATATCAGCAGGGTTTTTTTTTAAGTATCAGAGAAGACATTACGGTAATGTTAACAAATGTTATTGAGGACATATAAGTTATTAGATGGGGTGATACAATATAAAAACATACATATAAACAATAGCACAAGATGCAGTCAAATGATACAGGCGGCATGTGCAGCAGCTATAGGATAGAGGTTCCAGTGAGCAAGGGGAAGCAGATGGCTTCCCAGATGAGGAACTGGTACAAACCCTACAAAATGATTGTGAGGAAGACAGCAGAAGCATGGAAGAGATCACAGATAGGAAGAGAAAAGGCAATTTTGAGGTTAGTGGATTTATTATGCCTGGAGACCAAGAAAAATTATTTTCACATAAAGACAGTAAGGAATATTACATCACATGTGGTACTTTCACATGTGATGTAATAAATAATGGGACTGAGATTTAGATGGAGAATCTAGAAAAAAAAAACAGGAAAGGATTAAACTTTCCAACTTTTATGACTTTATTGAAAAAAGGAAACAAAAAAAGAAAATGCACAGACTGAGTCGCTGCCCCTCCCCAACAGGTCTGTACCCACTTGGCGCCCCCTCCCCACCCAAACTCGAGACCCTGAAATCCAGCCGCCACCGGGACCCTGGCCTGGGGCACCTGCCTCCACTTCCGCAGCGAGCACCAGCCGAAATAGCTGCCATCCCAACAGGTCTGTGAACTAGCATCTGGACTGGCTGGGGGCGTTGCCACCACTGTAGGAGCCGTGGTCTCCTCAAAAGTTGGGGTGGCCTTCTCCGAGGCAGGTAGTCGCTCACATGGCCGCAGTTACATTTCCCACTCCCAGCACTCTTGACTTTCATCCCAGCCTTTATCACCTAATTCTGTAGAAAAATTCCTGGCCACCTCAACTACAATACAATAATCCACTGGCATACTCCAATTCTAACAAAAGACCAGTACACAAGAAGCTGTGTAAGCCAAATATTAAAGAGCACCTCTTCCAAAGCTTCACTAGATGCCCGTCATAAGCCAAAGAATAATGCCTGAGAGGACGGTCAGACTCTAGAAAGGGAGAAGGGTGACCACCATCGACCGACCTTATCCAGAATCCTTTCCCATGATAAGAGGGAACACTGCTACTGAATTCCAGGGTTTGACCACTAGACAACCAAAACAACATGAAGAAACAGCACAAATCTCCACTACAAGGAGAGGATGAAGAAAAGAGTCCCGAATCCTCAACCGGGGTTATCCACAAATATGCTCTCTCAGATAAAAAGAATTCTGAGATGAAATGCAGAGGATGGTCAAGGAATTACTCAAAGAATCAATGAAGGAGATATCCAGAAAACTAAAGGAAGAAATTAAAGAAACAGTAGAACGGATAGTCGAGAAAATACAGGAAGAAATCAGAGCAAAAAAAGCTACAAAAAGAACTGTCACAAATAAAAAATTAGGTAGACAAAATTAAAAACTCAGTGGCTGCCCTCAGCAGTAGGATGAATACAGCTGAAGACAGGATCAGTGAGCTTGAAGATGAGCAACAGAAATCACATAGGGAACAACAAACAATGGGAAAAGACTTCAAAACAGCTCTAAGGAGAATCAGAGACCTAGGGGATGACGCCAAGAGGAACAACATTAGAATCATCAGAGTACCAGAAGGACAGGGAGGCAACCCCAATGAAAAAGTCACAGTCAAAGAAATTATTGCTGAAAAGTTCCCAGAGTTAAAGAATGCACACATACAGATCCAAGGAGCCAGAAGGGTGCCAGCTAAAAGAGACCCAAATAAAAACACTCCAAGGCATATCATAGTCAGAATGATGGATTCTGTGGAGAGAGACACCATACTGCAAGCAGCAAGGTCAAAGAAGGGAATCACAAACAAAGGAGCACCCCTTAGATTTACAGCAGACCTATCAGAGTTAAACCTCCAAGCCTGAAGACAATGGTGGGATATAGTGAAAAAAATCAATGAACTGAACGCCTCACCAAGAATACTTTATCCAGCTAAACTCTCACTCAAACTCGATGGAACGATATACCATTTTGTAGTCTATGAAGCTCAGGAACTTCATAGACTCAAAACCAAATCTAAAAGAAGGATTAAAGGGGCTCCTATAAGAAGGAAAACACTTATAAACACAACCAACCCCTACAAAAAGATGGCACAAAACCCCATAACAATAACCTCTCTCAATGTCAATGGTCTAAATGCACCAATCAAGAGACAGAGTGGCAAAGTGGATCAGAAACGAACCAAACTGAAACCAACATTCTGCTGTCTACAAGAAACTCATCTCAACAATCAGAGCAAACACAGACTCAAAGTTAAAGGATGGAAAACAATCCTGCAAGCAAAGAGCTCCCTCAAAAAAGCTGGGGTGGCCATATTAGTATGCGACAACATCAATTTCAGATTGAAAAAGATTAGAAGGGATAGCAAAGGCCATTTTCTATTTATCAAGGGATACGTGACACAGGAAAAAACCACACTCTTAAATGTACACGCGCCTAATAAGGGAACAGCTAAATACTTAAAACAAATGCTAAAAGATTTTAAGGAGGACATTGCTAGCAACACAATAGTAGTCGGAGACTTCAACATCACCTTATCACCTCTGGATAGATCAACAAGAACAAAACTCAATAAGGAAGGAAGGAAGGAAGAGAGAGGGCTAATAGACCTATACAGCGCTTTACACCCCCAAAAGAAAGAATACCCATTCTTTTCCAAGGCGCATGGAACATTTTCCAAAATAGACCATGTGCTATGCCACAAAACATACCTCAATAGAATCAGAAAGACAGAAGTATTATCAACAATCTTTTCAGATCACGATGTGCTGAAGATAGAAGCAATTCACACAAAGACATCGAGAATCAAATCAAACACCTGAAAATTAAACAACTCAATGTTGAACAATGAGTGAGTCAGGAAGGAAGTCAAAGACAAAATCAAAAGACACCTGGAAACAAATGAGAATGAAAACACGAGCTACCAGAACCTATGGGACGCAGCTAAAGCCATGCTAAGAGAAAAATTTATAGCGTTGCAAGCATTTTTAAGGAAAGAAAAAAGAGCCTACATAGATAACTTAACCACACAGCTCATGATCTTAGAAAAAGATTAACAAAAGGAACCCACGCCTGGCCAATGGAAAGAAATAATAAAACTTAGAGCAGAAATTAACAACACGAAAACCCAAAAAACAATCCGAAAGTCAATGAAACCAAGAGCTGGTTCTTTAGAAAAATAAATAAGACTAGTAAGCACTAGCAAGACTCACAAAGAAAGAGAGAGAGAGAATCCTAATAAACCAAATCAAAAATGAAAAAGGGGACATCACAACAGAAACCAATGAAATTCAAAAGATCATCAGAGACTACTTTGAGAGTCTGTATGCCATGAAACAAGAGAACCTAGAAGAAATGGATAAATTCCTGGATTCCTATAATCTCCCAAGATTGAACCAGGAAGACTTGGGATACTTGAATAGACCCATTCATATCAAGGAAATTGAAGCGGTAATCAAAAGTCTTCCCAAAAACAAAAGCCCAGGCCCAGACGGATTCACTAGTGAATTCTTCCAAACATTTAAAGAAGACCTTTTGCCAGTTCGCCTCAATTTTTCCAGGAAATTGAAAAACAGGAACTCTCCCAAACAGCTTCTATGAGACACATAATTCCCTAATATCAAAAGCAAACAAAGACACCACCAACAAAGAAAACTATAGGTCAATATCCCCAATGAACACTGATGCAAAGATCCTCAACAAAACATCAGCAAATAGAATCCAAAAACTCATCAAAAAGATCATACACCACGACCAAATGGGATTTGTTCCAGGGATGCAAGGATGGTTTAACATTTGAAAATCAATCAACATAATCCATCACATCAACATAAGTAAAGATAAAAATCATATGATCATATCCATAGACTCAGAGAAAGCTTTTGACAAGACCCAGCACCCATATATGATGAAAACTCTCATCAAAATGGGTTTTGAAGAACTTTCCTCAAGATAGTCAAAGCCATCTACAAGAAACCCATGGCAAGCATTATCCTCAATGGGGAAAAACTAAGGCCCTTTCCTCTACGATGAGGGACACAACAAGGCTGCCCACTATCACCACTTCTGTTTAACAAAGTACTGGAAGTACTTGCAATAGCGATTAGGCAAGAAAAAGACATTAAAGGCATCCAGATAGGAAAGGAAGAAATCAAGCTCTCACTATTTGCAGATAGTACGATACTATATCTCGAGAATCCTAAATCCTCGACCAAGAAACTCTTAGAAACAATAGACTTGTACAGTAAAGTCGCAGGCTATAAAGTCAATGCCCAAAAATCCATGGCCTTCCATACGCAAATAATGAGACAGAGGAAAGTGACATGAAAAAAATAGTCCCATTCACAATTGTGCCCCAGAAAACCAAAGACCTCAGAATCAGCCTACCTAAAGAGCTAAAGGACATCTACAATGAAAACCACAAAACACTACTCCATGAAATAAAAGAGGACACAAGGAAATGGAAACATATCCCCTGCTCATGGATAGGAAGAATTAACATCATCAAAATGGCAATACTCCAGAAAGCATTCAAAACAGATTCAACGCGATCCCTATAAGGATACCCGTGAAATTCTTCAAAGAAATATATCAAGCACTCCTGAAATTCATATGGAACAACAAACGCCCATGAATAGCTAAAGCAACTCTTGGGAAAAAGGTGTGGGGAGGCATTACCCTCCCCAAACTCAAACTCTACTACCAAGTGGTAATAATTAAAACAGCATAGTACTGGAACAAAGGCAGGGCCGCAGACCAATGGAACAGAGTGGAATATCCATACACACAACCCCAAATGTATGAACATCTAATCTTTGATAAGGGAGCAAGAAATGTGAAGTGGAACAAGGAACGCCTCTTCAACAAATGGTGCTGGGATAACTGGACAACCACATGCAAAAAATAGGCTTAGACCTTGACCTAGCACCATGCACAAAAGTCAGATCCAAATGGATTAAAGATCTCAACATCAGGCCAAAATCCATACGGTATATTGAAGACAAGGTCGGCAAAACCCTCCACGATATTGAGGCTAACGGTATCTTCAAAGACGACACTCCACTGACCAACCAAGTGGAAACAGAGATAAACAAATGGGAATATCTTAAATTAAGAAGCTTCTGTACCTCAAAAGATACAGTCACCAGAATACAAAGACAATCTACAGAATGCGAAAGGATATTTTCCCAATACCCATATGATAAGGGGTTGATATCAAGGATATACAAAGCACTGGTTGAACTCTACAAGAAGAAAACATCTAACCCCATCAAAAAATGGGGTGATGAAATGAACAGAAACTTTCCCAAGGAAGAAATCCGAATGGCCAAAAGGCATATGAGAAAATGCTCTACATCACTAGTCATCAGGGAGATGCAGATCAAAACAACAATGAGATATCATCCCACGCCACAGAGACTGGCCAACATCCAAAAGATCAACCAGTGTTGGCATGGATGTGGCGAGAAAGGGACCCTCCTTCACTGCTGGTGGGAATGCGCTCCCATTTGACCCAGCAATACCACTCCTGGGAATATATCCTGCAGAGGCAAAAAAGTACAGTCAAAGTGACATCTGCACTTCTATGTTCATTGCTACATTATTCACAATAGCCAAAATCTGGAAAAAAAACCTGAGTGCCCAAGAACAGATGACTGGTTTAAGAAACTTTGGTACATCTACACAATGGAGTACTATGCAGCTGTTATAAAAGATGAAGTCATGAAATTTACATACAAGTGGTACTACATGGAAAGCATGTTAAGCAAAATGAGTCAGAAAGAGAGGGATAGACATAGAAAGACTGCATTCATCTGGGGAAAATAAAGTAAAAAAATAGGAGACTAACACCCAAGAATGGCCGAGATTAGTACCAGGAATTTTGTTCCATGGCTTGGAGGCCAGCCACACATGCTAAGGGAAAAGGGAAATCAGACAGAGAAGGGAGCACCAAATAAAGGGTGTTGGGAGGATCCTCCCAGGATGAGAGAGGCATGCTGAAAGTAAACTATAGACTGAACATGATTGCCACTCAATGCCTCTTTTGCAAACCACAGCACCCAAAAGGAGAGAGAGAACAAAATGGAATGCCCTGCCACAGAGGCAGAGTGGGATGTGGGGGCTGGGGGGTAGGAGGGATACTGGGATCAGTGGTGGTGAGGAATGGATACTGAATCATTGTATAACTGAAACCCAAGCACAAAAAATTGTAAATGTACAACTGTACCTCATGGTGTTTCACCAATAAAATTTTTTAAAAAAAAAAGAAAATGCACAGACTCCAATATCTGCAGACAAAACAAATAAAGGACAGAGAAAAGGAAGCTGTCACACAGGGAAGAAGATAAGACTCTCACTAAGAAGTCAGAACACATGATCAATTCTGGTGCGGTCAGTAATCAAGAAAACTGCCATGCCTTCCCACAGAAGTATGAAACAACTTTATCATGTCTTATTGTCTTATTCTTTAAATCTATTATCCTGAGAAACCACATAATAAAGGAAAATAATCATCATTCCAAATAAAATAAAATGCTTATCATATACAAAATGCCTGCCAAAGCAGCTCTATAGTCTTTTTTGGAAACTGTGTTAAAATGATCTAAAATGATCGTTAATAATGAATCCTCTAACAGCGTTTCTCGACCATAAATTCTGCCCCCTCCCATGGGCCACAGGTAAAAACCATATAAACGGGGACCCATAGCACCAGAGTAGGGGAATAAGTGGCAGGGAAAGCAGAGGGACCACAGGACGGTAACATGGTCAAAATGGGTCCTGGGTTGGCAGAAGGTTGAGAAACAGTGACCTAATTTAGTTCTGAAAAGTTTTGGGACATATTAGAAATATAAAGAACAACAAAGAGTTACAGCTCCACAGAAATATCTGTTCTTTATGTCAGGGGAAATGACCTCTTCCGAAATCCCCTGGGTTCAGCCTCATCACCAAAAGAAAATGCTGCCTTGTATCCACTCACCAAGCTTAGACAAGTCCATCTTCTTTTTCGACCAAGTGAAATAATGCAAAAGCCCTTTATAGGCCTGCACGAGGTTGATGAGAACTTCCTGGGAAGAGGACTTCTCACCATATCTCCACGTCTCTGCTTGGCTGAGATTTCTGCTTGCATCCTCAAGCATGCCATGATGCAGAAGGTAGAGCGCATGCTGTAAGGAGATCTGCAACAATGACAAGAAAAAGTCCACTGAGTGTAGCTCCTGAGACAACCAGGAGCCAGCAGGTCCTACAAAAACACAGTCTGTGCTGGGCTAACCTTGGTAAGACACAAGTGATAGAAACACCGTGGCTTGTCAGGAAAAATTTCAACTGAGCAATGAAAACAGATAGGAAACAATGAACATCACAGGAGTTACCCTATAGAAATTTACAAACTGATGCAATTTCCAGAATGAAAAAATTCAGAGACACAAAAAAATTATTAGAGGTAACCAGGGATTGGGAGGTCAAGGGAACTGGGAAGTTACTACATAATGGGTACAGAGCTTCCATTTGGGGTAATAAAAACATTTGGAAACATTGATGACAGTTGATCAACCTTGAAATGTAATAAACACCACTAAATTCTATAAGAATTAGGTATTTCACATTAAAAAAATGGAAATTAGAAAAAGTACAAATATCAACAAAAAAATGAACTGAAGAGTATTTTAGGATTTCCAGGACATACTAGTCTATCATAACTCTTCAGTTCTGTAATTACTGTGTAAAAAGCAACTACTGATGGACAGACTGAAATGGATATGGCTGTTCACTTAGAAATAGGAAAAAAAGACAAAATATGTTTAGAAACTTTATTGAAACAGAACCCTTAAGGCAAGTATCTACCACAGAGAAGATACAATGTAGTTTGGAAATGTTTTACAGGGGGATGGGGGTGGGGAGAGGTTAAACACATGGTAGCTCACATGGTTACTCCAGGCCTTACACTCAGAAATTGCCTCCGGCAGTACTCTGGGAACCAAATGGCATAACAGGGATCCAACCCCGGATGAACATATGCCAGGCAAATGCCCTATCAGTTGTAATGTTACCCCGGCCCTAGAATGGAAATGTCTGAATGCTTTTAAACAAGAATTTTATGAAAGATCAACTGAATTTGGAAAAAGTTCTATCAAAACTAAACATTTTCACACATGAATTAAAAGATTATTGTTACATTTTTAAATTAAAGTGTTCATACTACCAAAGGGCTGGAGTGACAGCACAGCAGGTAGGGCATTATTTGCCTTGCATGCGGTCAACCTGGGTTCAATTCCTCCTCCCCTCTCGGAGAGCCCAGCAAGCTACCGAGAGTATTCCACCAGCACAGCAAAATCTGGCAAGCTACCCGTGAGGTATTCGATATGCCAAACACAGTAACAACAAGTATCACAATGGAGACCCTGCTCGAGCAAATCGATGAACAAGAGGACAGTGCTAACAGTGCTAACTACCAAAGACTCGATGAAATTAAAATTAAAATTATTAAAATTCTGATGACATTTTTCCACAGAAATAAGGGGGTGAAAAAACCTCATTTCTAAATTATTATATAGCCACAAAAGACTCTCTATTGCCAAAGCAATTTTTGGTCTGTTGGTTGGTTTTGGAGCCTCATTCAACTGGGACCAGGGAGCGCTTCTGATGGGATCAGAGGACCATACAGAGTGCCAGGGATTGAACCCAGTTGGCCACATACAATGCAAGTGGCTTACTCACTGTACTCTCTCTCTTGCCCAATAGCCAAAGAAATATTATGCTTAATATTAAATTAAATATTAAATATCATGCTTCCTGGTTTCAAACTACATTATAAAGCTATAGCTATCAGGGGATCTGAGCAATAGTACAGTGGGTAAGGTGTCTGCCTTGCATGTAAACAATCTGAGTTCATTCACCCTTTATGGTCCCCAGGACCCACCGAGAGTGATCGATGAGCAGCGAGCCAAGAATCAGCAATTAGCACCATTGAGTGTTACCCCAAACCAAACCAAAACAAAGCTGTAGCAATCAAAATAACATGATCAATTAATTTATGACAAAGGGATTCACTATACCAAAGGGACAAGACATTTTCTTAAAAAAATAAAAGTACTAAAAGTCCAGCATCATGAAATGAATGGAATTGGGCCTATTTTAAAACACTCACAAAACCTTACCTAAATAGATTAAGAACTGAAGAAATGTAAAACCAGAACTATATAGCAACCTAGAAGGAAATGAAGAAAAATTCCTTAACACGGGTCTTTTTAGGTTGGACACCAAAAACAGAATAGTAAAACTCAACAAGAAAGAGCACATCAATCTGAAATGCTTCCGCACTACAAAAAAGACCAGAAAGGAGACAGAAAGGCAACTGCTGAGAGATATAGGAAAGGATCGTAGGTGACAGGAGTGAAGCATATGGTTCTTTCACCTTCTCTTATTTGTTGTGGTGTCTTGCACTTTTCCCATGCTTTTAACTTTACTTCCTACTTTCATCACTGAGCCAAGTAATTTCTCTCTCTCTCTCTCACACACACACACGCGCGCATGCACACACACACACAGAGGGAGAGGGAGAGAGAGAGAGGGGAAGGAAAGCAGAGAGAGAGGGGGAGAGAGACAGAGGGACAGAGAGAGGAGAGAAAGAGTGCGAGAGAGAGAAAGAGAGCATTTGTTTTGAGAGAAAGAAATGTTTTGGGACAACAAATTTTTAAAAAGTGAAATTTACGAAGCCTAATTCTCATCACCTTTAAGTAATTCATGACACCAATATTTTTCATCCGGTCAGCAAAATTACTAAAAGTCTCCACACTGCTGTTAGGATGGTAATAGAGAATTTCACTTCCAAGCTTCCAGATAATCTGTCAAAACAAAAATTATTAACAAAAATGTAAAATCTTTGCCTTGATTTCCATCTAAAAGTCCTTTTTCTATACACTACTAGTATCAGCATTCTACCATAGTTAACCCAAACTGTTGTTATCTGTGGTAAAAATCATTTTTACTGACTAAAATGCCACATACACTATGCTATGATAGTGCCATTTTTAAGTTACTAGACAGAATACTAAGTTAAGTTACAGGATACTAAGTTACTAGGTAGACAGGACACACACACACACACACACACACACACACACACACACACCCCCAATACAACCTTTGAAAACTTGGATCTATACTATCAGCTTCTTCACTTCTCTTATTCTCATCTTTGCTATGTACAAAACGACAGCTGTGGGGTGGGAGATGCTCACAGGGCTGGACCAAGTGCTCTCCGTTCACAAAAAAGTGCTGTGAGAGTGCTGGAGACTCTGGTTCAATTCTCAGCCCAATGTGAGCTGGGAACAGTCCAGCAGTGAGCCCAGAGCAGTCCCTGTCCATGAGCTCTGCCAGGTGCAGTCCCAAAAACAAACAAAACTTAAAAAAAAGAGTGACCGTCTATGTTTCCTGAGATACCTTTAGTTCCACGACTACTGTCCGTATTAATTTCTGTAACAGAGCTTAACACTCTTCCTGTTCATGATACTAAATCTTTCTCTCTTCCCATAATTTAAAGAACTTCAATAAAATCAACCTTAAATTTAGGAACATTTAAAATAAGTTCAATGACCATATACACTGGTATTTAGCATAAATCAAACTATGTTCTTTTTGTTGGAAGTAATAAGATTAGGGTTTTCCTCTTTTTTTGTTTTTGCCATGCCAGGATGCATTTGCCTTGCACAGGGTTGACCCAGTTTGATCCCCAGCACCCCATATGCTCCCCCTAGCCCGCCAGGAGTGATCCCTGAGCTCAGAGACCAGAGTAAGCCCTGAGCACCAATACCTGGAAGACTTACTAGAAAACCAATGTATCAATACCTTCTTTGTACAAAATGGTCTGGACAAAAGGAATCAGCAAATCTGACCAATGTTTTCCAGCTACATTGACTTCAGTTCATAATCTAAATTCATAATGAATGGTTAACTTTTTTTTATAGGTGTGTATGTGTGTGTCTACTAGACATCTAAGTAATGCAAGGATATTAGCAAAAGTTAACTGAGATATTCACATGGAGCTATGTGTATATAAACAATCACTCAATGAACACATTTAACAGCATATGCCTGGTACTCTTATAAACAAAGGTCTCTGCATATGTGGAATTCATACGTTACAGACAGGTAACTGATAATTAAGCTGGCAAATGTTATGGGGAAAGGATGAAGAAAAAAGAGATAGGGGCACACGAGGCAGGAATGGGGGCTGGCATGCAACTGCAAATTGAAGTAGTGCTAGTAGCTTCACTGAAAATGGGACACAGACAGGAGCTGCTGTGGTAACTGGAGAGAGCTTTCTCCATAAAGAAAATGTCTAAGGCACTGGTAGTCGGGAGTGAATATACCTGGCCTGCAGATAGAAAAGAAAAACCAACTGTGAGGTCAATGTGGGCAAAAGAAGCAACATGAGCAGGTCCCGTGGACCGTGGAGGCACTCAGAATTACCTGGTGTTTAGAAGGTGAGTAGGAAGACACTCGGTGATGCAAAGAGAAATCACATGATCTGACTAATGCTTTTTAAGAATCATGCTGTGTCATTGGTCATTAAAATAATACAAATCAAAACCATGATACTTATCAAATAAAAGCTAGGATGGATGTAGTTACAAAATATGGGCATTAACAATGTTGGTAAGGTTGTTGGAAAACTAAAATCCTCAACCAAATGGTCCCCTGAAGGTCACCATGGATAGCCTGAGGATCACCAGAGTATTGCCGGGTTAGGCCTTGTAAGCCCTGGCACTGCCTGACTGTCTCGGGTCTCCCAGCACTGCAGGGCTACTTAAGCAGCATCCCATATTTTGGACTGATCCTAGTTTAAATGCTTAGATCCACAGACCTAGTTGGCGGAAAAATGCCAAGAGGGTCCCCCCAAAACAAACTGTCCCAACACAAACTCACCATCCAAAACTACTTCAAGAGACTTTTAGTAAAAGCAATGTGAGATCCCGCAAAGGACGTTATAGGAATTTAAAAGGCAAAGACTCCCAGATCTGTCATTTCATCCACAGACTACCTACCTCAGGGGCAGCATGTCTTTTGTAGGTATCAGAATCTTCCAAGATCTGTAAGTAACTGTGCATGTACTCTGCAGCCTGTTGCCACTGGTGCTTCAGCAGAGCTTCCTGGATGAAACTTAGGCAAGCATTTGTTGTCTGTGCAAAATCCTTTTCCATTTTACCTCCAGTGTCTAGGATTTAAAGAAAAGAGTCTTTTACCCACAGTAATTCCCTACTCTGCTATTCAAAACACTTCCAATAAGTAGAGCAATAGGTGCTAATAACCCAACCTACCTGATATCCAAGATACATTCACCTGAAACCAACTTCCACACTACTTTAATTAGCAAATGAAAACAATGACTAATTTAGAGATTTTTTTTATTGACATCCTTGGGCTACCAGAGTTCAATTCAATCGCCCTTTTATTCTTGTACTGAACAATCTGCAGACAATCTCTCAAACAGGGCACCCAAAGCAAAACTCCAAAATATTTAGAATGGGTTAACAACCATTAAATCAGGGGTATTCTGGGCAAGCATGTCTTTATTTCCAACCATGGATTTAAAAAGCACCAAGAGGGGTTGGAGCGATAGTACAGTGAGTTGGGCATTTGCCTTGCATGAGGTCAACCCAGGTTCGATCCCCAGCATCCCATATGGTCCCCCAAGCATCGCCAGGAGTAATTCCTGAGTGCAACAACCAGGAGTAATCCTTGAGCATCGCTGGGTGTGACCCAAAAAGAAACAGAAAAGAAAAAAAAATAACACCAAGAGGTAAGTTAGCTTGCTTGCTTTCTTTCTTTCTCTTTTTTTAATATAGGAATACCGCTCTTTATTCAGCCACTAATTGAATTGGGCATGAACTCCACATTACTTTTTTAAAAAATTTAATTTTTAATTGAATATCCATGAGATAGACCATTACAAAGCTGTTCATAATTGGGTTCCAATCATACAAATGTCATGCAAAGTGAAATAAATCAAAAGGAAGAAAACAAATAACAGATGATGTCACTCATCTATAGAGAAATAAATCAAAGAATGACCCAGGGAGATATTTCAATGGGCTAGAGAACATGATTTGTATGTCAGGGTACATACAAAGACGTTTAGATCTTCATATCCCACCTGGCCCATCCACAAAACACATTTAGGAGTTACCTTCAGACAGCAAGCCAAGGAGCCAATGATTCAGCATCCATCCCTACACCAGTGTACATTTCCCACCACCAATGTCCCTTGCAGCTTTTCAATTGGGTAGCCGCTTGAGGTATGGGTATGACTGCTGAGGCTTCTGGAAGTACAGGGAGGTGGGTGGAGGTAGCCCATTTTGACCCTGAGAAAGCCTGGAGATTTCAGTCACAAAACCTGCATACCTGAATTTTCAGCAGATTATATCTTGGTGAGGTCCATCCTGAGGCAGTGGAGTCAGGCCGGGGGTATGGCAGCGATTTTGGATTGTGGAAGCAAGTGGCTACCAGAGGCTCTGCTTGGGCAAGCCACTAGCCAATTGCCCCCCTCAGATTTACCCCGGTCTGTTCAGCCATGTACGGGTCCAAGATTAACTGAGGCTTTTGATCTCTTTCAAGGTGAGCTTTCATTTTTTACAGGGCTCACAGTAACTTGATGACATTAAGTGTGAATGAGATTTAAACTACTGTAGATGTTAGTATTGATATCTCTAACTCAAGTTATGAAGATAAGGGTTCTGTTACAATCCTTCCCAAAAGGAATAGATCGTATATTGCCACCTTCTGTTCCCTTCCTACCACAAAAACAGAGTCCTACCTGTCTAGTGTCCCCTGGGAGAACTCAGGTACAAGCTGGTTCCACATATGATACAGTTTTACAGCAATCATCAATCATCTTTCAGGTCTTCGACCTCCTCACAAACCCTAACCTAAAACTGATCACCAAGAATAGGTTCCTCACAATCAAAATCACTAGATACTAGCTTAATACAAGCTTAGTGCTGAGAAAGTGAGCAATTCTCACATATTCATTTAGAATTTATATGATTTTCAGGTCTTTTACTTACCAATATTGTACAAGGATGCAATTATTTTTCTTTTTTTTGAGGGAGAGGTCGGGTGTGGGGCAGATATAGTGGTGCTCAGGGCTTACTCCAGGCTCTGAGTTCAGGAATCACTCCTGATGGGCTAGAAAGTACACTTGGGGTTCTGGGGATCTAACCAGCCCTGTGCAAGGCAAATGCCCCACTTGCTGTACTATCACCCCGCCCCTTCATTTCTTATTGTCTTAAGGATTAAGAATTCAAGTTTAAATGCTTAGATCGTATTTAATTCAAGGAGCAAAGAAATCTCTGTCAAGTGGAAAGAAGGCTAGAACAAGAAAGATGTATTTGAGGGCTGTATGAAACACAGTGATTCAGATGTATTCTCAGGATTACCTATCCAACATAACAATATACAGATAACTTACCTTATATATTTTTTTAATTAATTTAGATTTGGGGGTTTCATACCCTGCCGTGCTCAGAGCTTTCTGCTGGCTCTACAATGAGGGATCTCTCTTGGCAAGGCTCGGTACAGTGTGGGGTACCAGGGATAAACCCGAGTTGGCCTTGTACAAGGAAAGTGCCGTATCTTCTGTACTACCTCTCCAGCCTCTCCATTATATTATCTTTTATGAAGTTTATCCCATAGAAAAAATTTATTTATCTGAGAAGGAAACAGGGAAAACAGTATTTTTGAAACATTTTCAATCAACTCTATGAGGAATTGTTGGAATGGATTGCAACAGATAATTCCTGAACACCTCCCAGTATATCTAAATGGCAGAAATCTTCATTTACATATCATCAATATTAAGCTGGTGCCAGAGATATATGTGCTAAGTATTGATGAAAATTTAAGTGTATTTAGCATAATTCCTTTTTTACCATTAATTCAAAAGAACTTAAAATTGTGAAATTTTACTTTGTTAGCAGTGGCAGGGATGGAATCCACGTCTTATGCACACAAGATGTGCTTTACTGCTAAGCCACATTTTCAGCACACACACACATACATACACGTGTGTATGTATGAGTGTGTGTATTCTGGGGGCAGGGGCATACCCAGTAATGCTTAGGATTAACTCCTAGTTCTGCATTCCAGCAGATGCTCAAGGGATCATATGGGATGCTAGGGATCAAACATGGGTCAGCTGCATGCAAAACAACTGCCCTGTATTATCTCTCCAGTTCTCAAAATTATATTTTTAATTATTTCTTTATTGCTTTTAGCCTAAAAAATCCTCACAAATTCTCTTGACCACTGAACTAGTGTGGTTATTCATTTTTATATCCGTGCTGAATTTTCTCATTTACTTTATGGCCAAAATGGCTGCATGTTATTTTACTTACCCACAGTATCAATATGCTTTTGGAGCCAAGGAAAACACATTCCTGTACCAGAGAGCACAGATGTTTCATCCTTGGTCAAAGGTGTGATCAACTCTTCACTAAAATCACTCATATTCCAACCTGGAACACAGAAGCAGCTTGGTTCTTCATTAAGATCAATCTCCAAACCGTGTCTATCAGTCACGTTCTATATGCCTGAATGCACAAACTTGTGAATTTACACAGGAACAACAGCCATCTTTTTATCTAATAAATATCATCTGACCAGTCATCTTAGTAGTAACTTGAGTTCTTCCAAAGACATGAATTCAATTGTCAGCAATAGTCAAACCCATTTGAAAGGCTCTGACTACTGACTGTTTCAAGTACATAGACAAGATACTGTCCTTTTTACTGAAAAAGAGAGCGTTAAGCCGGAGGGGGGCGGGGGGACGACACGACCACAGCAAACTGATGAATAACAAATCAAGAACAACAACTACAGTAATAATTGGCATCTATGGATTTGATTGGCATTTATGGGTTGTCTCCTGAGCAGAAAAAAATAATTCACTGCAACAAAGACTAGGTTATTACTTTTTTCATTATGGAAAAGCAAAGGGGCTTAGGGAAATCAACACAAAAGGAAGGTGGGGCCACTTTCTGTCAAGCAACTTGGCATGAGATCTCTTCAGCATGCAGAAGGCAGGGCAGATGCCGACCTGGGACTTGACAGAAGACACATGTCCCCATTCTCCATCAGTGCAGGTCAATTCAATCACCTGCAGTGATGCTGGCTGTTGGTTTTTCTCCAGTCTTCCCTGGTCTCTCCAAAGTTAGATGGAGCACCTTCCAGCGGGTTCTCCATAGCTGAGCTAACCCTGCCTCAGTTTAGCTTGGCCGCGTTATGGCCCGAAAGAACGCTTTTCAAAACGAAGCTCTACAGTTACAGGGGTCTGGACTTGAGACCCCAGCCGCCAAACCTGAACCGACTCACGGGTTAACTTTTATTTTTTAATTGAAGCACCGTGAGATATAGTTATAAGGCTGTTAATGGTTGGGCTACAGTCACACAATGTTCCGATAGCCATCCCTTCACTAGCGTACATTTTCCAACACCAACGTCCCCGGTTTCCCTCCCAACCCCACCCCACCTCCCACCCCCCAGTCTGCCTCTACGGCAGGCACTTTTCTTCTCTCCCCCTCCCCCTTCCTCTCTTTCCGTCTGGGCTTATTATGGTTTTCAACACAGGTACTGAGAGGTTTGGTCCCTTCACCTTTCAGCACTCAGTTCTTATCCAGAGTGACCACTTCCAACTCTCACTGTCTTTCTTCTCTATCCTAAATGCCCCTACCCTTCCACCGAGGACCAGCCTGGCTCTCGTTTCTACTGTCCGCACGGGTTAACTTTTAAAGCGCCCTTACAACAACCCTCCTCAAGCCACACTCAGACTAAAGCGGCGTCCGCCCGTTGCCACGGAAACTGACGGGCCACCCTTTTCTGCGCGGTTTCGAGAACTCCGGGTTGCAAAGGCCTCCGGAGAAAATACAGAATAGGCTGAATCCCTACGTCACGGGGCAGACGCCCACGTCCGCCACACTCACCGGCCCACAGCCGAGCTCCGCGGCCAAGCGAAAGCTGTCCCGCGGCCCCGGGAACAACGTGCTGACCGGAAGCGCAGTTCGCGAGAGCTAAAGTGAGCATGCGCAAGATGGCGTTTTCCGGCTGCGCCAACGCGCGGTCCCGCCCCCAACACTTCTATCAGCCGTGGCAGAGGCACGGCCCGCGGCTAGACCCGGAAGTTTACCGAAGTAGCTGGAAGGCACCGGAAGTGACTTGGACAGTCCTCCCCGGCTGGACCAGGACTGGACTCTGCAATTGGAGCTGATAGGGCTGAGCTGACTGCGGCTGGGTGAGAGGAGCAGCCCCAGACGCATCGTTGATGGCCCTCGGGAGGTGGCTCTGACTGGAGGCTTTGCACCCGAAGCCTGTGCGTGTCTCCGCACCGCAGGCTCCCTGGAAGACCTAGTTTCAGGATCCCAGCAGCGTCCTTAGTGTATCCCCACAGGGGGGCTGCAATAAAAGCACAGTGTCACTCTATCCCAGTAACTCACTGCAATGACCTTTCGGTTTCTGCTTGGCTCTCAGCTGCTTTCTTGAGGTCTCTTTTCCTTTGCTCAGCTTTTGACTTTGAGTTGTCATGACTCTGCCTATCCCAGAGTGGAAGGAATAGCTGTTTCCTCCTTCAATGGGGTGGTTCTTCGGTAAAGATCTGAGAGATCACTTTTTATGAAGAACAAGACATACCGGGTGAAACAGGTGAAATGAAAGATGGTCAAATGTGAAATGAGAAGAATGAAAGGATCAAGAGTGAAGGGCCCATTTTGTAAATCATGATGCCTAAATAAAAATGGAAAAAAAAATAAGTAAAATTATAATTCCCAGGGAAACCACTAGGAAAACAGAATTCATAGTAGCCAAAGGTAGAAATCGTCCAAATGCCTGTAAATGTAATGAGTTGTCATGTGAGATTATGTAAGTAGCATTCATGAATTAAAATTTTTCCAACAATTTTAAAAATAAAAGTGAAGGACCCGGTGAAAGCAGACACTCGTGGGATCATAATGTGTGTTTCCAAAATGTGTGTGGGTGGGTGGGAGGAGTTGGTCTGTGAGAAATGTGTAAGCCCTTTCACTGAATCACTTAACTTCCCCTTAGTCGTCGATTAGCTCGAGTGGGCGCCAGTAACGTCTCCATTTGACCCTGTCGCGTGCTAGTGTAGCCCAATGGCATCTGTTCGCTCTGGGAACATGAAGAGCCTCAAACCGATCGTTCATGATCTTGATGAAGTCTGACCATCTGGTAGGTGGGCGGGCACGCGGTCTTTTGACATCCCATGGAATCTAATCGGTAACAGCTCTAGTCCAGCGGTCGTCTTTAAATTTCATTACATGACCAGCCCATCTGATTTTTGACGCCTTGGCAAATGAGACAGCGTCCCTGATTCTTGATCGTCGACGGATGTCAGAACTCCGGATTCTTTCTCTCATTTGAGTGAAACGTGATATTCCAAGCATAGCTCTTTCAATTCCTCTTTGGGAGACCCGAATAGAGTTCTCATCCTGTTTGCGTAGGGTGCAGGTCTCTGAGGCATATGTTAATGCAGGAAGAACAGTGGAATCAAAGAGATGTGCCTGGAGCCGGAGGTTCTTCGTCCTCTTAGCTATTTCTTCGACATTCTTGAAAGCATTCCAAGCCGCTCTCTTCCTCCTGCGCAGCTCGGGTGCCAGGTCATTTGTCATGTTGACCTCTCGACCTAGGTACACATAGCTGTTGCATTCGGAGATGGTCGTTCCGTTGAGAGCGAATGGGGCATCAGGAACGAGGCTGTTTCTCATAAACATTGTCTTCGTAAGATTCAGCTGTAGTCCTACCTTTCCACACTCACGGTCAAAGTCGGCCAGCATTTGTGCCACTTGGCTGATGTTTGGTGTTATTAAAACAATGTCATCAGCAAAGAGGAGGTGGTGTAGTTGCCGACCATCTATCTTCACTCCCATTCCTTCCCATTCCAGTCGTTGCATGATGTTCTTGAGGGTGGCACTGAAGAGTTTCGGTGAAATGGTATCACCCTGCCGAACCCCTCTCTTGACACCAAAGTTTCTTTAACCAGTCATCTGTTCTCGGGCACTCAGGTTTTTTCCAGATTCTGACTATTGAAAAGAGTACTGCAATGAATAAACAAGTGCAGATGTCACTTCGACTATACTTTTTTGCCTCTGTGGGATATATTCCCAGGAGTGGTATTGTTGGGTCAAATGGGAGCTCAATTGCTAACTTTTTGAGAGTCGCCCATAATTTTTTCCAAAAGGACTGAACCAGTCGAAATTCCACCAGCAGTGAAAGAGGGTCCCTTTCTCGCCACATCTGCGAGAGCACCGGTTGCTTTTGTTCTTGTGGATGCAGGCCAGTCTCTTTGGTGTGAAATGATATCTCATTGTGGTTTTAATCTGCATCTCCCTAATGATTAATGATGTAGAACATTTTCTCATGTTCCTTTAGCCATTCGGATTTCTTCTTTGAGAAAGTTTGTGCTCATTTCATGGCCCCATTTTTTGATGAGGTTGGATCTTTTCTTCTTGTGGTATTCACCAGTAACTTGTATATCCTTGATATCAACCCCTTGTTGGATGTGTATTCGACGAATATCCTTTCCCATTCTATAGACTGTCTTTGTATTTTGGTCACTGTTTCTTTTGAGGTGCAGAAGCTTCTTAGTTTAAGATAGTCCCATTTGTCTATCCCTGTTTTCACTTGCTTGGCCAGTGGCGTGACTTCTTTGAAGATACCATTAGCTTCAATATCATGGAGGGTTTTGCCAACTTTGTCTTCAATCAACTTTAAGGATTCCGGTCTGATGTTGAGCTCTTTAATTCATTTTGATCTTACTTTTGTACATGGCGTTAGGCAGAGAAATGAGCCCACTTTTTTGCATGTAGCCCTTCAATTTTGCCAGCACAAATTGTTAAAGAGGCTTTCTTTGCTCCACTTCACATTTCTTGACCTCTTATCGAAGATTAGACGATCCTATGCTTGGGGGGAGATGTCGGTATATTCAACCCTGTTCCATTGGTCTACAGCTCTGCCTTTGTTCCATACCATGCTGTTTTCATTGTTACTGCTTTGTAGTAGAGTTTGAAGTTAGGGTGGTTGATTCCTCCCATTTTCTTTTTCCCAAGAACTGCTTTAGCTATTCGTGTGGGCTAATTGTTCCATATAAAAATTTCAGGAGTGTTTGCTCCATTTTTTGAAGTATGTCATGGGTATCGTAATAGGGATCACATTGAATCTGTACAGTGCTTTGGGAAGTATTGCCATTTTTTTAAATTTATTTTTTATTAGTGAAACACCATGAGGTACAGTTGTAGATTTACATATTTTTGTGCTTCGATTTCAGTCATACCATGATCAAATACCCATCCCTCCACCAGTGCCCATTTTCCACCACCAAGGATAATATCCCTCCCGCCCCATTCCCCCCATCCCCCCCTGCCACTGTGGCAGGGCATTCCCTTTTGTTTTCTCTCTCCTTTTGGGTGTTGTGATCAGCAAAAGAGGCATTGAGTGGCAAACATGTTCAGTCCAGTCTACTTTCAACCTGCATCTCCTCTCCTGGGAGGATCCTCCAAACACCCTCCATTTGGTGTTCCCTTCTCTATCTGAACTGTCCTTTCCCCTAGAATACCCGGCTGGCCTCTAAGCTATGGAGTAATCCTCCTGGTGTTGATCTCAGCTATTTTTGGGTATTAATCTCATATTTTGTTATTTTATATCCCCCAGATGAATGCAATCTTTCTATGTCTATCCCTCTCTTTCTGACTCATTTCGCTTAGCATGATACTTTCCATATTGTACCACTTGTATGTAAATTTCATGACTTCATCTTTTCTAAGAGCTACATAGTACTCCATTGAGTAGATGTACCAAAGTTTCTTTAACCAGTCATCTGTTCTTGGGCACGCTGTTCATTTCTTTTTTTTTTCTTTTTTTTGGGTTTTTTTAATAGTTTATTTCTTTATTGAATCACTGTGGGCAAAGTTACAGAGCTTTCGGGTTTAGGTCTCAGTCATGTAAGTATCAAACACATTTCCCTTTACCAATACTTATTTTTAACCGTGAACCCCAATAGAATCCCACCTCCCACCCCTCCCAATTCCTGTGAGGCAGATGAGTTCTAGTTAATACTCTATCTACTTTGACTAGATACATTGTTTCGATAGAAGATACACAATTATTGTTTAGAGTTTACGACCCCCCACCCCCAATCAGATATGCTGAAACAGTGTTGTGAAATGATTTGCTTTCTACAGCTTGGTTTAAGAATAAAATGATGGCGCACGGCCGCACGGTTTTGGATTTCTGCTGTTTCACTTATTAACCCTGGAAGTATTTCTATTAAAAGTTAGATAGTTAAGAGATTGGTTTCTGTGCTCTGGAGTCGTGGCCATGCCGGAGAGCCGCTCGTGGGGTGCAGCCGGTGCCCTCAGTCGGGCGTGAAGGACGGCCCAGAACGCCCCCCTTCCCATGAGGCTCCCACTGCCCCCCGCCCCCGGCTCAAACCTGCTGTCCACAAGGCTCCTGTGCGGCCGCCATCTTTCTTTCCAGAGAGGAGCGGGCGAGCGGGACAACACCCTTTCCCCTCCGGGCAGGCTTGGTGGCGCAGTTTAACACATAGTCCATTTGCTTTTCTGCTCCAAGCGGCTGGTTCTCTGTGCTAAGTCCTTGTGCCTCCGGGGCCGTGGCCGTGCCGGAGAGCCGCTCGTGGGGGGCAGCCGGTGACTTCGGTCGGGCGTGAAGGACGGCCCAGAACGCCCCCCTTCCCATGAGGCCCCCGCTGCCCCCCGCCCCCGGTTCAAACCTGCTGTCCACAAGGCTCCCGTGCGGCCGCCCCGCTGTTTACCGACAAAATTTCTTTACCGACAAAATGGCGTGTCGAATTTCGGAAGGGAGAACTTTGGGAACGACGTATCCATCCTGTGGGATTTGGTATGTCGGCAAGTGGACATGGCTATCGAAGAGATTTGAGTAGAAGTCATGGATAATCTTCTCCATTGCCATTCTGGAGGATGTGATGGATTTATAAGGACGTCGGAAGGCAGTCATCTTGGTCTTGTAGTTGGC